GGGGGAGCCTCGCAAGGGTCCTGGAAGGCTCACCCGGACCCTTGCGACGCTCCCCCCCACGGGGCCAGCAGCGATGAAATTGCTGCATTCACACCATTAGACGCACTGACTTCCCCACCCACATTTTGGAGGGGGAAAAGTGCGTCTTATGGTGGAAAAAATACGGTAAATTTGTTAGTCTTAACGATGCATCAGTACTGTTGTTCCTGATTTTGTTTGTTGCTAAAGCAGAATAACAAGTACTGCTTTGAAGAAGGTCTTAAATGTTAGTAGTAGGAATCCTATGAAGAGCAGAGCTTTGCTGAGTTGGTAGTCTTGCTTATTCTGTTTTATAATTTTTCAGCCATCAGAACTAGACATGGGAGCTTTGTATTCATATCCCAGAGGATATAAATATTAGTATTGCCACCACAGGTGCCACAGAGGGCCATTCCGGGCTTCACGCAGCCATCATCAGTAACATTGCACCAATTGCAAAAGAAGCCTGGCTGGCACTTTCTTGCCTCTTTGCTCTGCTGACCACTCCGGCAAGGAGGCTGGATGACAAGTCTCCCTGCTCAGCTGCTGAGTGGTCAGCACTGCAAGGAGGCGGGGAAGTGCTGGCCAGGTTGCTTACACAATTGGTACAATATTACTGACTATGGCTGTGTGCGCTGCACAAAGCCCAGTGAGTGGACTGAGATGGTTCTGGGAGGAGGGTCCAAAGGCTCCAGCCACCTATAGTGACAATATTCATATTCATAGAAATATCCCATCTTTAATCAGAACCATTTTTGGAGTTCTGCCCTGTGCAACACAGCATTGTAGACTAATATGGCTTCTAATGTTCAGTTGGTAAAAATGGGAAAAAAACTTTTACACCAACAGAGCTTCAGCATATTTTCTTGCCTGCCCCACAGTTACTATCTTGATTGCTTGTAAAGATACTATTAAGGCATTTCTGTGGCTTTGGCGGGTAATTCAGTACAGTTCTTCTGGTCTAACTTCTTTGAATATAGAAATTGTTGTTTAGTTATGTCTGACTCTTCATGACCCCATGGACCAGAGCACGCCAGGCTCTCCTGTCTTCTTGAATATAAAATAATGATCATAGAATATGTACTGCAGTATTGAATAGTTTTAAATTGTTGGATGTTTAAGTTGGATTCTCTCCCCTCTTTTTTTATTGAAAGGTTGCCCGTGTGGTTGTTGCTTCTCGCAATTATGCAGATTTTGCAACTGAGGCTACATTTGATATTAAGGTAAGCAGTTTTATTACCTTATTTCAGAAAGCCCATTTTGGATTCTAGTGCCTCTTAATCCTGTGTTATACATAGATTGTTTCAGCAATTAGGATATCTGGCTGTGGAGCCAGAGGTTAGTAGTTTGATTCTTCCACTGTGTCTCTCAGGAGGAGGAATCAACCTGTGTGGCCTTGAGCAAGCTACACAATTCCAGATTGCCTCCAGAATAAAGGAATGTAAACCTCTTTTGAATATTCTGTTCTTAGTAAACCCGGAGAAGGCTGAACATAAGTTAGAATTGAGCTTATGGCATGCAGTTATTTATTAAGGCAGTTCGAAAACAGCTACCAACAAGTTCTAGATGCACTGTGTTTTCATAGTGGAGCCTGAAGTACATGTACGAAGTGGTTAAAGGAAAAAAATTGATGGGCATGTATTTATTAATGAGGCCTTGTACTCTTATTTTTTTTCTTGAATGTGGTCAAGTTTAAAGGAGCTATCTTGGTGTAAAAAAGTTGGAGGTGACTGGTTGACTTTATTTTTAGAAATGCGATCTCCACCGCTTGGAAGAAGGTCCACCCATTACAACTGTGATGACTCGGGAGCAGGGATTGCAGTACTACAAGACTATGCAGACTATACGGCGCATGGAATTGAAAGCAGACCAGTTGTATAAACAGAAGATTATTCGAGGCTTCTGCCATTTATATGATGGCCAGGTGAGTAAACAAGTTGAGATCATGTATCCTTAAGTCTGTTATATTTTGTGCAAGTTTAATTCTGTTGAAGACTTTAATTGAAAAGGACGTTTAGTCGTTTAGTCGTGTCCGACTCTTCGTGACCCCATGGACCAGAGCACGACAGGACCTCCTATCTTCCACTGCCTCCCGGAGCTGTGTCAAATTCATTCTGATAGCTTCGATGACACTGTCCAACCATCTCATCCTCTGTCATCCCCTTCTCTTCTTGCCTTCACACTTTCCCAACATCAGGGTCTTTTCCTGAAAAGGACAGTTATAAAGAATTGCATGTTCCTGCAATGCCCACAAAGATGACAAATCACTTCTCAGTGTAGAAGATGATCTTGTATCTACAACATGACAATTGCATTTGTAGTTCTTCCCAATTTATTATTTTGTGAAGACACATGAAAGAAGTTTAGAAATTCCAGCAATGGTGACCAAGAGAAATCCACAGTAGATTCTTATTTGTGTTTTTCTTGCTTTTTCACCCCCTTTTTAAGAGAACAAGCTGTTGGCAGTTCCCAGCGGTATATTTATAAAGAGGAAGGGTCTCTGCCCCTTACAGCTGTAGAAGAAGGTGATGTGTATCAGTGCAATCTATTACTTAGGTTTTAAGAAAAGGTTTATATTTATGTCCTCCAATGCTAACTTGCAATTTTTCCATGGTCTCTCTGTGTGTGTGTGTGTGTGTGTGTGTGTGTGTGTGTGTGTGTGTGAGAGAGAGAGAGAGAGAGAGAGAGAGAGAGAGAGAGAAGCACATCTATTTTAATGGTTCTGAAATCTGTATACTTGGCAGACTACCTGTCAGTCCATTTTCTCTACTTGCTTCTTGGTTTCCTGAAAGGGCTCAGTTGTTCTGTTTTGGAATCTGGTTGTAATCTAAAATAACATTTACCATGTTTTCTTTCAGTTGCATCTTGTTTGTTCACTCTTTTTACTTTTTTCCCCTCCTTCACTTCCCTGGTTAGCGAGATAAATGTTTTTGCTTTGGGAAAATATATATACAGTGGTGCCTCGCATAGCGAGGTTAACGGGGCACTCGTTATACGAGGCACCACTGTAATGTAAAAATTTCTTACATTTGTCCTTCTAATTATTCTTGTTCAAACTGAAACATTTCAAGGTAAAATGATTTCAAAATAAGCATCCGAAAGGCAGGGTGTGGGTAGAATAATAATGGAGCTTCCACTCAACAGAACAGTGATCAAGACTGTCCACTGCTCTCCACCCAGGGCACTTGATATAAAAGTGAATCTCTGATTTATCTTTTTGGCTTTCCCATATTCCACTTTCTGATTGTCCAAGTGCTGAAGTTTCACCTTCTGTATTAATATATTTTCCTTTTGAAATTATCTGTCTTACTTGCTTTTTAAACTTTGCTGCCCTTTGACCCACTTAGGCTCCTTGTGAATGCGCACTTGTTCCTTCCTTAATAGTTGACCCCTAATGGTGTAATCTTGAGAGTAGTATTTGTTCTTAATCTTTCCACAAAAATATGTCTGAAACTTTTTGATGGCACACATTTAAACTTAGGGGCTAGTCTTCCTAGAAATGGCACTCTTAATATCTAATTTTGTATTAATCACAATTACTTTTTTGTGGCAGTGGTTGTATCTGTACAAGACTATCTCATAAAGATTTTTCTCAGGCTGCACCTCTTCCTTTTTATGTCCCATTATTATTTCAGTTCACAAATTCTAAATATTAACCTATTTGAAAAAGGCATAGCCGTAGTGATCCATCATAAACAGTTTACTGTTTATATGATAAGTTCTGTAATGTAAGCTACCAAGATGGTGAGTCTCATGTTGACCTTTCATTGCTAGCTATTCATCATTTTATCACTGCAGTCTTTGCTTTTTTCTGATCTGTTGTTTGTATTGGAGGTGTATAATGGTGTTTATATAATATTTTAAATTGATTTCTTACATATAAATTATGTCATCTTGTACATGATTTTTAGACTTGTTTTCCTTACTGTATACTACAGGAAGCTTGCTGTGTTGGACTTGAAGCTGCCATAAATTCGACAGACCATTTGATCACAGCCTATCGGGCTCATGGCTTTACATATACTCGTGGTGTTCCAGTTCGAGAAATTCTTGCTGAGCTCACAGGTTCATGTTTTATAAAAATATTTAAAAATGGGAAGGAGGAGGCTACAGCTGATAGGTTTTAGAGCCTCGGTTATGAAATGACAACCTAATTTAAACCTTTTTGGGTCACTGAATTTGTTCAGTAATAAAGATGTTCCCCTATCACTTTAAAAAGCAGAAGGCTTGTTTTCTCAATGCATATACAGTGGTGCCCCGCATGACGATGATAATCCGTTCTGTCAAAATTGCTGTACAGTAAAATCGTCGTCATCCGACCCCCCCCATTGGAATGCATTGAAAACCGGTTAATGTGTTCCAATGGGGAAATACCTCATTGTCCAGCGAAGATCGCCCATAGAGAACCGCCGATCAGCTGTTTAAAATCGCTGTTTTCCGAAGGAGGGGTCTGGAAAAGAGCCATTTTGCGAAGGGAAGCCAGCCATTTTGCAAAGGGAAGCCATTTTGCGGAGCTGGAAAAAACATTGTTTTGCGAACAAATGGTTTGCGAAGCAGGTACCTAATCAATGTAAAGTGGAAAAAAAACCCATAGGAACCATCGTTTTGCGATCGCAATAGTGATCGCAAGAAGTCATTGTCAAGCGATTTCATCATCCTGCAGGGTCGTTGCCATGCGGGGCATCACTGTACACCTGTATTGTAGGTTAAAGTAAAGTAGAAATAAAAAGTACAAAAAAACAAATGTGGTGCTCAAGCTTCAGTGAAAGACCTACATATCAAAGATACCATTGCCATAATGTTAAACATACAACAACTTTTTAACCAACCAACCACGATCTCTGTATTGGATATCTTTATTTTGATGCCATTTATAAATCTCTTTCCTTTATGTCTGATGAAAGCTCACATTTTTTATAAATGTCACCACATTTGTTTCCTTTTTTTAACTTTTAATTTGCTTTTTCTTATAGTACTTGCAAAACCTGTCATTTCTCTGTACTTGGTTAGAGCGGCACTCTGGTTTTAAAGACTTGTCCTGGCACTTCTGCCTGTACAGCTGGGACACCAACAGGCAGTCATATTTTGTGCCATGGGTTGCCTCCTGAGAACTCTGTGCTGCCAGCATTTGTTTTAAGGAATTGTTTACGGTGAATAATTCTAGAATCACCTTAACATTTTTCTGGGTTATTAGCAAGTGGGTTGATAGATGAAGTAAATGTTAATGATGTTAACAATGACTTTGATGGACTCCAGATCAGATGTAAAAGATCAATGTTTAACAATTTCAGGTCGGATAGGTGGATGTGCTAAAGGCAGAGGAGGCTCCATGCATATGTATGCTAAAAACTTCTATGGTGGTAATGGTATTGTTGGTGCCCAGGTAAGGCTCACAAATAAACAGAGTTTTCTTGAGAATGGAGGTAAAATAGCCTTTAATATAGGCTGTAATCTCAATGTGTTAATAGCGTTTAGAAATGTCTAACTCTGGACATTTGTGCAGTGTGGGGTTTCCTTAAGGCTGGTGTGGAAGGTGTGGTTGGTCTAGAATGCTTTAGCAAGGTTGCTGAGTAGGACAGCCTGCTAGAAGCAGACGGCCTCACAGGGGAAGGAATTGCACTGGCTGCCTGCTTGATATTGGTCTACAATTTAAGAATTTGCTACTAGGTCATAAATCCCTGAACAACACAAGACCTGTTTTTCTAAGATATCTTTTTGTGCTGTGGAGGCCCATTTGATCTTTAAGGTGATCTGGAGAGGCCTTCTTGGTGGTGCCACATGCTTTTCAGGACTGTTCTGCATTCATGTGGAATAGAGCTTTCAGTGTTGTGGCGCTTGCCGTGTAGAATATAATCCTCTCACAGATTCAATGTGTGCCCACAGTTTTTAGGTTTAAAAATAAATTGAAAGTCCACTTATTTATGCAGACATTCCCTGTATAGTTCAATGTAAAATTTGGTATTGTACAGTATCTATTATGTTTTATTATGTTTGTACGCTGCTTCTACATTTTCAAATCTTGTAGTCTGTGAATGAGTATTCATAAATAAATAAATAAATAAATAAATAAATAAATAAATGGTCTTGTAATGTACTATTTATGTAGGTGCCTTTGGGAGCTGGTATTGCTTTGGCATGCAAGTACTTTGGCAAGGATGAGATCTGTGTGACATTGTATGGTGATGGTGCTGCCAATCAGGTAAGCCCTCAATATTTATTTGGTATAGTTTGAAATTATGCCACATCACGTGATCACTGGCTTTTTTTCATGCTGAATGTTTCTGATCACAAATAGTGATTGTTCAGTTTTCTCAGTTTGAGTTGGCAGCGTGGCACATTTCTTTAATTCTTTGATGTAGAAGGACTCATGTATATGTCAATTTGATGGCTAACCAACCACATGCTTTTTCCTCAGTAGTGGTTTTATTTGCCTGAATGTTCCTGTGACCCTAACAGCTAGGCAGGAGGTTAACGATGGGTGGTAAGAATAGAAGTGAGAAGTTAATGGGAGAACTGACATTACGCAGGGTAAAGATTTCCAGGCCCAGCGTTCTTCCCTCAAATGCCTTTCCCTCACCTCCATCCTCTTCCATGTCAGTGGTAGTAGCCTCAGCTTGTTGGTTAAAATGCTTCTATGAAGGATGAGTGCCTACAGGTGAAAGAGGTAGGGACCACAGCAACCTCTCTTCATGGAACAAAGAATGCATGCTGTTTCCTTTCCTGTGCTCTGAGAACTGTGGGTGCAGGGGTTGTAGCAGCTCACACACTTGCTAACACCTCTACATATGCACACGTGTGCTGGCAAGTATGGCCGTGGGTGTCCCTATGGAGTGGGGCAAAGAGGCGCATACTGCTGCCCCATCATCCTTCATGTGACATACACCAACACAATCATAGCCAGAGGTTTATAGTCAAGCAACAGACTTGGATTCTGCACTGTTCTAGAGAATAGAACTGTTCTGAAACCAGCAGGCAGCGCAGGGAAATACATAGGTTGGACTGTGAAGATGATTGTAGAAACCATGCAATTTATTCAGAGATAGATGGCCTTTACAGGAGGAGAGGAGGAGAAGGGAATCAGGAGGGGAAACTAAGGATATCATCTATATCTGGAAATATATATCTACCGTGCTTGGCTGTAGGGAGAACAATGAGCCATAAACCTAGAATAGATTTCTTAACTCTCTTGCCCCAAATACCAGATCTATGCAAATTCTGTTACTTGAAATGATCAGGAGTTTCTTCATATACAGAGTGTTCTATTTCAAAATAACGTTGGTGCAGAGCAGAGTTCTTGTAAAATGAAAGCTCTTTTATGTTAGTTGCTTTAACAAGTGGCTGATAACAAAATCAAAAGCGTGATAAATCATCCATGCTTTTCCAGAGTCCCCTAGTGTGATAAAATATGTTCATTTCTTCTCTTCTTTCCAAAGATAGCTCACTGCAGATCATACTGCTCTATTCTACAGAGAGTTTGTTGATTTCCCAAAATGAAGTAGGACTCTTTTTCTGACAAATTTTGTGAAATTGTCAGTGTTATCATAAAGGGGTGTGATGTCTGAAACTATCTAATGCATTTTAAAGTACAGTGGTTAGTATCCTATTGCCTAGACATGGTGTAACCGGTTGTGTGACTGATCTCACAACCAGTGCAGGAATGGGCATATGAGGAGTTTGCTTGAATGGGAGCAAAACTTAAGCAGTGTCTCTTCTGCTCTGCATTTAGCGACAGGATGCTTAAATGTTCATTTGCTCCCCACCTTGAACTGAGTCTTTAAATATGCCTTGTCACGTGCCATAAAGTTAGAATTAATCTACAGCAACCTTAATAGGCCTTCCATGGCAAGTGAGGCAGTTACGGAGTAGTCTGTCCTTTGACACACCCTCAGTGAGTTTCCGTAGCTGAGTGGAAATTTGAACCAAGGTCTCCTGAGTCTCTGGAGTCCTAGTCCCTCAGTCTATCCACTACACTTGATTTTATTTTTATTATAATTTTCTGTTTTCCCATCTTGAGCATTACGTAGCATTACTAATCACTATTGTTTTAAATTAATTTTAACTGTTTTAGCTTACAATGTTTAATGGAACCACCCGGAGTAGACTTTGTTTAAAAGGGCGGAATAGAAATCTAATAAATAAATATATATAAAAAATAAAAACACACCACAGTGGGTAGCCTGTCCTTTACTCTACATATGTATTTATTGGTATTTATTGCTAATCGTCAAGTCTCTTTTGTGTTCTGTATCAGCGCAGCAGAATTCAAATTCTGAGGATTTTTCTCCCGCTGTTTGTAGGCATTTTGAACATAGTTGAATGTGATACTAAGGATCAAAGCATGTGTGCACATGGGTGCAAGGAAAATACACAGGAATATTTTAGTGCTCACAGATTGCTACGCAGTTTCTTCCTGTCCTTGGGAAAAAAATTGAGGGTTACCCTTGAGGGTCAAGCATGTAAATCTATATGAATTAAGTAGTATACAGAACCCTTGTTGTTCTTCCAGGGTCAGATATTTGAAACTTTTAACATGGCAGCCTTGTGGAAACTGCCTTGCATTTTTATCTGTGAGAACAATCGATATGGAATGGGAACTTCTGTAGAGAGAGCTGCAGCCAGTACAGACTACTACAAAAGGGGAGACTTTATTCCAGGACTTAGGGTAAGAAGAATTTTCATATTTACTATTTTCTAGAAAAGAACAGAGATATGCTACATTTGGACTACATTTTATGCCTTTTTCTCCCCCCAATAGGTTGATGGCATGGACGTCCTTGCTGTAAGAGAAGCAGCAAAATTTGCTGCTGACCATTGCCGATCAGGAAAAGTAAGTTGTAGTTTCATTACTCTAAACAAGTGTGTGTTTTGGTTTTCTCTTGCTTAGTAAGTTAGGTATTGTAAGTGCGATAGTTCAAGCTGGAGATGATGATGATGATTAAGATTACTATGAACATACATTGGTATTTCTACAACTAATTGCAAATCCCAGAGCTGCCTTCAAATGTGCAGTATTATTCCCCCCCCCCGGCTAGATGTCCAATTTCCATTTTGACCAGCAGGTTGGGACTGCTTCCCCCAAACTTCACTTCCCAAGTGCTTTTCTGGATTCACGCCAGCTGTTTCATATTTATTTGAGGTTACTTGGCATGTCAATATTTTTTGCTGCTTCTCCTTTTTTTGAGGTTCTGGTTCTATAGTTTAATTACCTTAACCACATAAAGAATAATTGCTTCCTGCCTTCCTTTCCTGTTAATTAGAGAATGTTTATAGTTTTGCAACTCTCTGGTTCACTGTTGCCTAGAACAGTCCCTAACCATTGAGGCATGTAATAAGGAAATTATAAACGCTTGGCAACTAACAGAGAAGAAAGCCAGAAATTACTCCTATTGAAAGCTTCCTCATTCATGTAAGATCCAAAACAGCTATATTATGCAAAAGGAAAAACAATAAACAATGCTTCATACTAATTAACTTTAAATAAGTTAAAATTATCACAAAGTAGGTGGCCTGAAGACAGGAAAATGCCTGGGAAGTTGTGCTGCTGATCTACAGCAGCTGTTTTTCTTTCAAATCAATAGTTTCGTGAGATCAGGGTGGGCTACAAAAATTGGCTCATGGATCATGATGCTCACCTCTGGTTTATTACAGTCAGAGAATGGGACAGAGGTGCAATGTGATTATATATCAGAACTTGGTGCTGCTATGAAAGGAAAATTTTCTCTGTGAAAATCACTTGAGGTCCATAATAATGTCAGTCCACTATCTCTGTGAGAGCATATTCTGTCTTCTCCTTCCCTCTTTTTCTCATGCTTTAATGCAGCCTTTGTAGAGCTTGTTGAACCACTATTTTCCATTACATTTAAACTGGGAACCAGTGATTGGGAGTTCAATTCCTCACTATGCATCTCAGAAGAGCTAGCCTGTCTGGCTGTGGGCAAGCGGCACAGTCCCAGGGTGCCTCCAGGAAAAGGGAATGATAAACCATATCTGAGTACAGTACTCTTTACACAGGAAAGCCGTGAAAAGGGTTGTCATAAGTCAGAATTGATGGCACACGATATTATTAATGGTTGGCAACCCACTGCTGCAATTAGAGCTTACAGCACAGGTTCAGATGTCATAGGAAGCAACTGTTTATCAAGTCGAGCAGTATTGCAGTGAGACAGAAAGATGAGAAGAGGAAGTGTGCAATCTCAGTACTTGTTCTTCACCTGTTTTGTACTACGGCTTCTTAGAGAAAGATCTTTTATAGCTCACCTCAACAAAAAGGAGGGCCCTGAACTGGGCAGTATGGTGACTTTAATAATCCCATTTGCTAAATCACCACGAGTAGAAGAAGCTAAATAACAATTTTAACCTATTTCTTCTGTCCTTATCAGAAGTTTACAGGAACATTTCTCAAAGCTTTTAGTAGAATATTTTTGCATCATTGGTAGTAGTTTCATAGTGTTAGTGTTCACTGTCATTGCAAGCAGGGAAGAAAGAACAGGTAGGTGCCATTGGAGGAGAATGGTCATAGCACTGTTAGAATCTTTTTGATAAAATTAAAATAAGATAATATGAAAATTATTTAAAATTCTAACTTGAAGTAGTAGCCAGGAAAAACATCTAGACTTCTCTTGAAGTTATATATTTTTATTAATATCAAGAATTAAGAGAATGAAATCTGTTCTGTTATTTTATTTTTTAAACATGGTAAGGGTCGGTGAGGACCACTCTAGGCGGCTGTTCTGTTATTTCATTTTTTAAACATGGTAAATGTAGAAAGGTCATTATTAATTTCTAAAGAAGCTACAACAGAAATGCTATTTTGCATGTTGTGGTGTCCGCAGAGCAACTGTTACTGATTTGAGTTACATACGCAAAGGAGTGGCCCTTGTGCTTACCTGATTTTTACCATGCCACCACCAGCCTTGGGTTTTGGAGATTTCTTTTGGTATGTTGACAGTGCCCTGTAATGGTGAGCTACTGCTGCAAGCATATGGCTCAGCATGTGGTAGCTAGACTATACAAGACAGAGCCATAGTTCACAGATGTGCTTAGTTCTGACTAAGCATCCAGATCAGCAATGAAAGTTAGATTTAGTGGTCAGCACAAGCTTTCGCTAGATGCCATGGCTGTCCAAAATTATGTATACCTCCTGAAACAAGGCCCTTAATACCACTGTAGTCTAACTAATCCTAAAGCAAAGGCACAATTATAATTGGCTCCTGCCAAGAAAATTTAGGCACTGTTTTCAAAGCTATTTATGGCTCTCAACTTCAATTTTACCAGGGTCCTATTGTGATGGAGCTACAGACATATCGATATCATGGACACAGCATGAGTGATCCTGGAATCAGGTATATTTCTTCTCTGATTGCTCCAAACATTGTCTTTAAAGTGAGAGGAAATTGGTTTCTTGATCCTCTTGGTAAATAGCTGTATACACATGAAATGATTTTTAGATGTTCCTGGTCTTCTGTCTAGGGTCATTTTTTGGGGGGGGGGAGCCCCTCCTACTCTAACTGCACAGCAGAATGGGGAATATAGAAAAATTGCCCCTTATCCTTTAAGCAAAAGGAGCTTTTTTTCTAAAGAAGATGATTGGAATGTTGGCACAGCCCTTTGAGGTCCAGGTGTGGGTGGGACCTTGATCTCTGGTTCTCTTGTGAGCTAGACTTTTTACAGATTCAGAAGAACCACTCTGGTTTCACCACCTCTGTACGGTGAGCTGTTAACAGGTAAAAAAATTCTTGCGAAAGTGATGGCAATTTGATAGGAAAAAAATCCAGTTTTATGAGTAGACTACCTTGAAGAGAAAACCAGCAATCTGTGGAAAATTGATCTTTGTATCTAGGATTATTACTCACTTCCTATTTATCAGAATAGTTGAAAGCAGTAGCTGATCTGAGTTACTGCAGTTCAGGAAGGGGAAGGGGATTCCATGAAGAGAATTTCTCCAGTGGCCCAGGTGGGGGCAGGGGCACTTTTGATACAATTGTTTTGAAGTTTTGTGTTATTAGGGCTTTTGTGGTTGTGTAATTTATTGTTAAGTTTTTAAATGTCTTGTTATGTTTTCTGTTTGTTATTAATAAAAAAAATGTAAGAAAAAAGAATGAAGTACTGCTTTCAGATATAAGGAAATACCAAGTTGCTGGTTTTCATCCTTAATTTTATCTCCCAAGGGGAAATGATAAGAAATCTCTGAAACTGGATTACTCCAAACTATAAATTTCCACTTCTGTCTAAGTGCTGCAGACTATAGTTTGTTCAAATCAGGATCTGAAACTAATCAGACACAATCACTTAGGAAAGGTGGCGATTGAATCTAGATCAGTAGTGTTAGGAACTAGTAGTTGCAGTTCTAAGTAAATGCTCTGAAGCTAGCTGTGTTAGTCTGTTGCTGTAAAAACATCAAAAAGTCCCGTGGCACATTAAAGAGTAACAAGTTTTATTTGCCATTTGCTTTTGTGGACTGTAGCCAATTTCTTCAGGTACATCAGAAAAAGTAAAAGAATGGTATCATTCTTTTACTTGGGCATGTCTCCTTATGAGGTTGGTGAGTTTGTACTCCATATGGCTAAATGTAATCCCCTCCACTGAAAAATTTCCAGAGGGCTGCTATGAAAGTTGGTTATAGGAGAAGCAGCAGAGGCTTGTTGGCTCTTCAGATACATCTGAAGAAGCGGGAAGCAGTTCATGAAAGTTTATGCCAAATAACAGTTGTTAGTTTGTCAAATGCCCTAAGAGTTCGTTATTATTCACTATGTGCCATTAACATTCTTTTGTTTTTTTTGTTTGTTTGTTTGTTTGTTTTTTTGGGGGGGACTTCCATCTCCCAGAATTGTCCAGGAATTCCCCAGGAAGAATTCTAGGAGTTCCAGCCCACAGACACACACTTAAAAGAAACCTATAGTTCACTTCTGTACCAGAGCCTCTACCCCAAAAGTTGCATGGCTGTTTCAGACCTTACTTCCTGGTATTAATTTACAAAAAGGAAGTTGCTGTGGCACTTCTTGGAGTCACTAGTTCTTCAGGAGGTGAGGTTGTGGAGTGTAAAGGGTACTAAGACTACAGCTCCTAGGAAGCACTGCAGCAGCTTCCTTATTGTGTACACTGACAACAGAAAACAAGGCCCAAGAGAGGCATGTGGCCTTAGGGATAAGCTGTGGTCCATGTGATTGAAATATAAGTGTGTATCTTGGCCTGGAACTTCCAGACGTCTGCCTGGGGATTTCTTGGAGAATTCTGTAAATTGGACTCCAAAAAGCTCTAAAAACTCAATGACATATCCCTAGTTATACTGCTTTGCTGTTAGTGGAGGCAAGCCCAGAATGCTGATTCATTTAGAAACACTGCTCTCTGAAGGCTGGTAGTTACTACTTTGAAAATAAATCTTTGGCCCAAATCTTTTTGGGGCTATCTGCCTGTGCAATGGAAATGTTGGCAGTGACAGACTGCTGCTGATTTAAAGGTTGTAATTTTTTTTAAGTGCTTGCATCTTCCATGTTTTATGTGTAGGCCCTGTGCACCCTTAAATCAAAGGAAGCCCGGATTTACAGCTGAATCTTGTCACTGTAGTTTTAGGCATATCCCAAGTCAGATACCTTAAATTGTGGATTAATGCCATCATAGATGCTGAGACACACATTAATCTTGGTCCAAACAATTGAAAGATGATGTATATGCTCACCATTGCTCATGGAAAAAAATGAAATATTCACAGTTATGACTGTTCAAAATCACCTTTCAGCCTGTTACGGATTAACCTTTTACAAAAACAAGGTATCTTCTGTTAAATGCTTATATTTAATACCATTATGTAATAGGCACATTGCATAGCATTGCGTTTTTTTAGAAATGTACATATATGGTCTTTGTGTGCCAAATTCAGTGCTTGATATGTCTGTATCTCTTCCTTTGCACAATACACAGTACTCTGTTCCATAAGTAATACGTGTGTGATATATATGCTGTATGTGCATTATGATGAATGCTTTGGAATTCGCCTATATGGGATTATATGATATAATAATAGTAAAAAAAAGCCCAACAACAACAGAAGGGGTTGATAAAAGTATAGTGGACTTGCATTAGTTGGTATGGGACATTCATGGAAGGAACCATTCTTCCTCCCTGATAAATACAGTATCCCTGCTGTGATTCTTGGGGTATGCACACATGATGGTTTAGTGTGTGTGCCTCCTCTGAGAATTGCAGTGGGGATGCTTTGTTTACTAGGGTGTAATGACCTGAAAGTTACAACTTGGCTTATGCTATGAACAGGATTTCAGCCAATCAGTTCTGTTAGTTCAGCAAACATTGTATGTCATTGCTTTGATTTATTTATTTATTGCAGTTACCGAACAAGAGAAGAAATTCAAGAAGTCAGAAGCAAAAGTGATCCCATTACTCTTTTGAAGGACAGAATGGTAAACTGCAACTTGGCTAGTGTGGAAGAGCTAAAGGTAAGAAGTCTTCATTCAGATTGAGTAGAATTGTTTTGTATAAAATCCCTAAATCCAGTAGGGAGCATTTATGTAGAACAGAGCAAGTTATGTTGCACCACAGGATATTTTGGCATCAGAATTACCACTGTTGCCTAGTAGATGACTGCTCTTTTTCTGACAACTGTATTTTGTGTTGCTGTTGCCTCATTTGTAACATCTGTACAGTGGTGCCTCGCATATTGATTGCTTCATTTTACGACGAAATCACTTTGCGACAGTGTTTTTGCTATCGCAAAAACGATCGCTTTGCGATGTTCCCTATGGGGAAAATTCGCTTTGCGATGATCGCAGGGAAGCGATCATCACAAAGCCCCCATTTTCGGCCAGCTGATCAGCGGTTCCAAAATGGCCGCCGGGTAAACAAAATGGCCGCCCGCTGTGTTGCCTCTAGAGGCACCGAAAATGGCCGCTGCAATGGAGGATTTTCGCTTAAGGTTAGTTTTGAAGCCCATAGGAACCCATTAATGGTGTTTTAATGCGTTTCTATGGGCTTTTTATTATCTCTTAGCGATGAAATTGCTTAGCAGCAAGTTTAGTTTTGAAGCCCATAGGAACGCATTAACTTTAATATCACTTAGCAGCGAGTTTTGCTGCACGGATTAACATCGCTAAGCGAGGCACCACTGTACCTTGTCTACCATCTGAGCCCATGCCAGGGATAGGCCTTGCCATTATCCCAATTGTTCTATCACATATACTTGTAGAGAATTCATCGCTAAGTGAGGCACCACTGTACCTTGTCTACCCTCTGAGCCCATGCCAGGGGTAGGCCTTGCCATTATCCCAGTTGTTCTATCACATATACTTGTAGAGAATGTTGAGCTGGTACTTACATACTGTTATTCAGGAATGTGGGACTTTCCAGCTATGTTGAACTGCAACTCCTATCATCCCCCACTGTTAGTCATGTTGACATCTCATGGGAGTTTTTGCTTAACTGCTACTAGCAGGCCATGTTCCATGTCCCTGCCATAGTCACTACAGTAAGTTCGTCTGTGGCAACGTGCAGTGCTGTCAGGAACTGCCTCTAAACTGTCACACTTCCGTGCTGTCAGGAACTGCCTCTAAACTGTCATACTTCCATTTCCCACTGTGCCTCCTTAACAAGAACTGGACGTGCCTCCTTGACAAGAACTGGACTCAGTGTTTCAGAGGGTCCCTTCTAGCTCTGTACTTCTAAGAACCTTCCTCTTCGTTTTGATGTGTGACACAGATGTGCAAACTGCTTGTTTGAGATCACAGTGAAGCAGGGTTTCATCTTAGGAAGGGCAGAAATTCCTAAAGTACTGAATCTGATAAGTTGTTGAAACTTCCACAGCTGCATTCAGAGTGCAGCTGTACATGTCTAGACTTTACTACCATTTAAAACAATTTATTAATATTGAGATTTTACCTGCAAACAATCAGGTGCCAGAGATGGATCTCTGTGAATTTATTGTTCTTCCACTAATGTTTTTCCTTTCTTTTTAGGAGATTGATGTGGAAGTAAGAAAAGAGATTGAAGACGCAGCACAATTTGCCACAACTGACCCTGAACCACCTCTGGAAGAACTAGGCAATAATATTTATTATAAGGAGCCACCTTTTGAAGTGCGTGGCCCAAATCAATGGATTCGGTATAAATCTGTTGGCTAAATTATTTGTTACTTCAGTCACTAGAAAAACTGGTGGATTTTATGCTGAGGTCAATTCTTGTATCTATTCGTTTAGATGGGAAAAAGTCATTTGGCAGCAAAGTAGACATTGGGGATGGGGATGGGGAAAGGAAATATCATTGCATACAATGCTGAAAAAACAGAGTTTATTAATTTATATGTAAGCTTCATGATGTTCTTGGTTGCTGTACTTCTGAAAACTATTATGCTAAAATCATATTATGTACAGTAAAAATTGGCACATTAAAACTTCTGAACAGATACTTCTCATGGGCTATGCATTTTAATTCTTACCTTCTCCTCATCTCCCCATTATTATCCCCTAGGAAAAAAAATCTTTCCATGTGCGTATTTTTTAACTTAACCTTTCAAGTATGTACTTAGAATGACTATGCAATGTTTCCTCTTTTAGAAGCCTTGCACAGTGTAAGATACTCTCAGGTTTTGTCTGTTGCCTTACACATCTACTAACGTCCGGGTGTATATAATCAGAAGGTAGCAGGAAGTTGCCCAAACTTATTTTTAAGAATAGTTGATATTTATAAAACTATATCATTTTATATTTAAATGTGATTGGTTAAAGTGCATAAGCTAATGTTTAGCTCTAAAGCAAGCATTTCCTCAACTCATTTACCTAGCTGGAAAAATAAAACATACAAATCTTTGTCTATTCTAGTACATCAGAATGCTGTAGTACAGAATGACAAGCTTCAAAAAGAAAAATCAGAAACCACACTATATCAAAGCATTGTGGTCCACCTGTTCTTTAACATAATACTTCCAAAGAAAACCTATTCAAAGTATATGTTGTGCAAAATTTGCAGGACCAAGTATACAGACAGTACTGTATGTACAAAAAGCAATAACTTAGTTGGAATGTGTACCCAAATTAGCATAACTGAAGTGCTAACTTTGAATTTCCAAACGTTTATTATTCAGTTTTCTGTGTTTCAATATTGCATTCCAAATTCTGCAGAGGAGGCCACCACTGTATGGGAAGATAACAAGAATTTTAGTTGAAATCTATAAAAAATATATACTTTTAGAACTATGCAATTATCTTCTTACCGTAGTCTAAGGAATCGTAAGTCATCTTTTGTGATGTCATTTAGAATATCATTGAGTGTATAATCCTCTTGAACAAACTGAAAAAATGAATAATTTCACTGTGTTCAGATAACAGTGACAGAACGTGACAGATAATATCTGATACAGTCCTGTTTAATCTTACCCTATTAATTGTATCTGAATCAGCTTTTTGTTGTTTTAACCACTTGATAAGGTCTTCATCTACATCATGCTCAGGAGGAGAGGGGGATGATTGCATTTCTGTAACAATCCAAATATGATTAACCAAATTCGTTGTGTTGTAAAGGATCATACTGTCCAGACTTCTCTTTCATCTTCAGATTTACTTTATAAAACTTGCTCAAAACATATTACTGTACTATCATTTTCCTTAAGGAAATGGTTAATAGCTTTCATTCTCATACCTACCAGTGGTTTTCAACTGTTGCTGAAGGAGCTGCAAATCCTGAATTTTTTGTTCCAGTGTTTGCCGTAAAAGAGTCTGATATTCTTTCTCCTTCTGTACAAGGTTTTCAAGGAGCCTGTAAGATAAAACAGAAGCCAGTGTTGGGTCCGGCATAACATTCTCTCCAAAAGTACTTAAATGGTAGCAACTAATTTGTTGCAAATAATAGATGACAGCATGAGGTGATATAGCTTATCAGAACAACTATGTTGCATTGAAGTTGCCATCTCTAGGGGTCTTGCAAGTGTATACAAGCCATATGATGTGATCTACTTCAAGACCCAGTTTGTCATTCTTTGACTAATGAGAAGGCCAGCCATGTTTTCTGAATATCATCAGATTTACATTTCTAACTGCAAGAGTTTACCACTTTATGTTGCCTGCCTTGGCTGGGATCTTTAGACTAAATTTTGGGGTATGACAACATGCACATTTCTTGCTGTTGCTTTAATGACAGGGAACCCTAAACTCCAAACAAACTGTAATGGGAACTTGAGAAGGTAATTTAACTTCTCAAAACAGTAATGAATAAAAGAGGGGCTAGTGCTCTTTGGAGTCTACCTGCTGTAATTCTGTTTAAAGACAGGCTCTGGAACATGTGGAGCACAGTTTATGAGGCCCCTCAGTCTGAATTTTTTTAAAAAAAAAAAACTGCTTGTGTACAAGTTCTCTTCTTTAAAACTCAGCTCACAAACTGGTAAGTTGCCTTCTCCAAAGGCTATAAGGGAGCAAAGTAAGACGCATCTGCTATACTGTAGGTATTATGTAGCTGGTCACTTAGCTTTCCATGGATTGGGGCTGAGGAACCTTTTTAAAATTCCTGTTCAATGTCACATTCCTTCTGGGTTAGTCTGTCAGATGCCTTGTGCCCTGCAGGCCACTAAATGGAGAAACCTTGTTTTTGATAAGAGATCTGAGCTGACTGGTTACCAAAACATTTGAAGTAAGTCCACAAACAGAATCAGAAGGTTGGAGGAATGAATGTGAATACTGAGGGAATTCCTCAAAAAACAAAGAGCATCTACAATGACTACCTGTGTAACTTTAGCCTTTGGAGAGTGAAGGCTCACCTAAGGGACAGTTCACACCTGAAAATGATCAAGAGACTGACTAAATTAGAAGCCTCAGTGCACGTTAAAAACCACACATATTGACAGATGCTTTACCTGTTGGTTTCTTGCTTAAGATGGCTTAATTGCAAGTTAAGCTGCTGCTGAGTATCAGGAGATACCGAAGAAGGAAGTGTGCACAGTCCACGTGCTATAACTGCTTCCTCATGTCTTTTTGGCTCTGTTTGCTGGTAATCCTCCACTTCATCTGCCTCTTTTTCTACACATTCATTCTCTGATGCTGGTTCAAAGTGAGCTCGAAGCTCTGCACAAAGCAAGAGAGAATCACAATTTTTGTCTCCCCCTCTTTGAAATATATGTGTGGACAGAGATTCATCTATAGTCAGTGTATTTAGATTTTAAACTGAAACTTTCCCCTCTATGATTACTGAGCTCATTCCAGAAAATGCAAATAACTAGAGAGTACTTAAAATATTATTTTCTTTTTTAAAGGATAAATTAATCAAATTTGAAATCTCTATTAGAGCCAGGGCTCTTCAATTTGATTAATTTGTCCTTTGAAAAAAAATCTGGAGAACTAGCCATTAGTATGTTCTGAAGAGGGCATAGCCAGCTAAAAAGAAGAGTTTTAGATATTTTAAAACAAGTATATTCAGGAAAAGCACTGCTGATTAAATGCTCTCTCTCTTAGAACCAGTGTGATCTGTGCATAGTGAACATGCCCCTCCCTTCCAGCTAAATTATTTAAAAAGATGTTCAGCAACACTGCGCACCAGAGAAAGTTGTGTGACATCACACTTAAAACGCCTTTGCACATGCTGAGGGGGGGAAACCCTTACAAACATTTATTGGCTACAGTCCATCAACCAACCAAAAATACGTCTAATGGGACCATCATTTATCTCATACTTCCTCTGCTTTGCCAGTACGAATATAATGGGGGACCATGCCATAAGCCTTGTTGGAATGAAGATATACCCACCTCCTGACATACCAGCTTTGTAACTGTCAAGGAAGAAAGTAACTTAATCTGATATAACTTGTTTTTGAATATCCTGTGACGGCTCTTTGTATGAATGCTCAAGAATAACTACTGGGTGATTTTTTTAGAGAAAGTGTCACACTATTAAATAGTCTAGAACAGAGGCCCCCAACCCCCAGTCCGCGACCCAGTGCTGGTTCGTGGCCTGAGCTGGACCGGGCCACGGCGACAGACCTCCCTGCCCCCCTGCACTCACTCACCCCCACAGTGCTGACTTGTGCAACTGCCCCACATTTGTACTAAAATAAAAATTTGGAGCCTAGGATGAAGAAGTACCTATTCTTCAAGGACTTTACCTCCTGCATATCTGTATGAGTTGGTGTTCTGACTGTCTGTTTTCTTTGAGGGCAAACACATCATCTCATTTCTTTGTGTCAGAACTGACCGACTGAATGATCTACACGCAGATACCTAACAGAACAGCTTACACATAAAGGAGATTAATTTTAAGGAAGCAAAGCTAGAACTTACATTTTGCAGAGATAGGCAGCAAAGAGCTCTCTCTATGAATGGACATTTAGGGGGTGCAGCCCCCCTTTTTAAAAAAATTTCTTTCACATAGTACATGAATATGTCTCATCCTCCAGTTCAGACAATTTGTTAAATTTACATCCTATCTTTCCCCAACATGTTCAAGGCAATGTACTGTTCTTCCAGATATGCCCTCTGGAAAAACAGTGTTTCCCTAGAAACAATGGCTCTCCTTTTCCCCACTTGCTTCTTACAACAACCCTGTGGTAGGTTGGTGTCAGAGAGAATGTATACCTCCACTGGTGCTGAAACATGCACTGGCGGGGATTATTTGCCTACCCCTTTCGAACTGAAATGGGCAAGTAGTGGTGCCAATTAGTGCTTCCACAATTAGTGCTGGGGGGTGGACATACAGAACAGTTATTGGGCTCGACTGCCCTCAGCCAGTCCTCTTTTCAGAATTCCACCCACTGACCCTGGGTCCAGTGTGGCTGCAGTGGCTGTTTTGGGGCCAATAGGAATTTTGGGTCCATCTCACCTGACTGGCACATAAAGAGTAAGTGGACACATTTTTGCCTATCTTGCTGTTCACCCAAGAGACTTTTATGATGGTTAATTGGCTGAGCCATGCTTACATACTGTAGGTCACACTGATGGGTAGTACAGAACAGTATGTGAGTACCGGTGAGTTCCTAAGAAGCACACGGGGTGCTATTGTGCTCAGTGTCATGGCAACCAGGATCCAGATATTTGCTTGCTGGGATGAGGGGGGACATAGTGGGATGGCCTTGGATGCTCCCCATCCAAGTTGTAGAGGATTGGACATTTGGCAGATGGGCCCCTCTGCAGATTGAGGGTGGTTAAAAGTCAAAATTAATAAAGTGCAGCCTTACTTAACTCCATCACCTGTGTCCATCTCTTTATTTTGGGAATGGGTGGGCAATGAAAGGTTCAGAGTCACCTAATAGAGAGGGTTGGAGCGGGATCTCTTAAATCCCAGCCCACCATCTTTAACTACTATGCTATGCTGGCTAAAATCCTGTAGCTTAGCACAGTAAATAGCAACTGGAGTAGGCTCATGAAAAACATGGAACATATGGAGGACTTGACTCGCCAAAACACTGATTCAATGGGCCTAACTCTGGTTGCAACTTACTATGTTAAGCAAAAGGATTTCAGCCAATGAGTCATATTAATAGCCAGCCTACACACACCACATTTAGCCATAATATTTACTGCTTCGTTTGGACTTACCAGGAATAAGAATAGTGACAGCAGCTTGAACTGCACGTCGTATTATATTATCCATAGCAAACATCCAATGTGGCCTGATTAAATGATTTCTTAGTACTTTGTTCACCTACAAGAAAGAGCAAACCAAATAAAGTGACTGGCTTAACTTTCAAGTGTGAACTATATACAATAAGTAAAAGAATTATTTCTTTTGTAGAAAAGACAGTTTGCTACTTCCAGTAACTTGTAGTCTATGTATGTATTCCAAATGTTGCTTTACTACAGCTTCCTTCACTGTAACCTTTTTGCCAATGTGCTAGAGTCTAACAATATCTGGAGACCCACAAGTTCCCCACACTTTGTGTATATCATAATTTATGTGTTTGGATTTTAGATAGGAATATTTCCTAACCTTGCAGGAGATATTGTCTCTGTTACAAAAAAAATCTAAACTTCCCAAGTACTGTGATTATTTTCAAATGCATTGCATCAGAAGCAAAGAAAGCTATTCGATGGTTACAGATAGCATATTGTATTTCTTTTAGAAGTGCATCAAGAACTGGGTCCTCTTTTTCATTCACGTTCTGTGCACAGAATACTACTTCCCAAAAGCTTGTCACAAAGCAAGAAGTGAGAGTATATAAAATATATTTTAGATTTTCTCTGTGCATTCTGGCTTGCATCTTTGGTCCTCTGCTTTGAAAATTATGGATCTAATGACTGCCTAATACACCATCAGACACCACAGGATATTCTACTTTTTCCAGCATACAAGGATGTGCTGCCATCTCCCCTGAAATGGCAGCACATCCTTGAAAAACACTAAAGCACTGTCTGTAGAGTAGTGGATGAACACTGACCCAGGGGAGCGGGATATATATGAATCTGGGTTGCAAGAGCACGTTCTAAGGACTGTACTTTTCCCCACAGTCTAAATATGATATTTTATGAAACATACAGCATCTTGAAATCCAAACAGCATTAGATGAATCTGATTGATGGAAGTACTGTCAAAGTCCAGGTCCATTTTCAATTTGGATATAGTGGATGCCATGACTCTGTGTTCAGGGGAGCGTATGAAATCCCGCAAAATTCCAATTATCTGTTTGATGTGAGCAACTGAAAGGTGTAGTTCTTCAGAACTCTGGGGGGTGGAAAGGATACAAATGCACAATTATAAAGAGCCAAAACAGCAAATGGTAAATTAACAGACATAAGAGTTAGGAAAACTTTCGGATTAACCAGAAAAGGGGGAGGACCCAAAAGAGGCCCTTCCTTTTGTTTTTTGGGTTCTTTTGTGGATTCCCAAAAGAGACCTTCCTAACCCTGAAGGTTTGTTTAAATAAGCGAGTGGACACAAACATTATGGAGGTTTCTGTTTGCGTTTTGCTCTTACACTAAACGTTCCCTCCATCTAAATTGCCCGAGACGTTTTCCTCACCTCATTGTTACTGCCGGGCACCTTCTTGCCCTGTTGCCAGATCTTCTAGACGGAGTCTCCCTTTCGCCTCCCCTTCCTTCCCTTGCTGCCACTGCCACCGGGCTCCTTGCTCTGCTGCCACCCCCCACTTCCCCTTCCTTCCCTTGCTCCTACCACATGCCTGGCCTTGCTGCCAGCCCTGTCTGTTCCACTCTCCGCTCAGCCTTTCCCCTGCTGCCACCATTGCCAGGTTTCTTGTCCTGCTCTCACTGCTGCCATCCCTGTTTTTCCTCTCCCTTCTCCCCTCACTGGTGTTGTTCCTCATCCAGCTGTCAATGCTACCCCATCACTCCCCCCCTTCCTTCCCTCCCTGCCGCCACCACCACCACCATCCCTACCCTCCTACCACCTGTCAGCCCCCTTTCTGTTTCCCCCTCCTTCCCTCACTACTGCCGAGCTCTTTAGCCTCCTGCCAGTCCAGCTCTCCTGATGCCACCATTGCTGAATGGGGAAAAAACGAACCAAAATGACTTCAAAGAGGAGTCCCTTTTCAATGATAAGCCAAAGGAGGCATGCTGCCTCAAAAAAACAAACTTCTTCCCCGAAAGAAGCTTCTGACATGCATATTCCTGATGAGAGCTGTTTGTTGTTCATTTCTCAGTAAATTATATTATATAATTATAATATATATTATATTATGAAGGTATTTTTTAAAAAGGTTTATTTTAGAGAAGTAACAATGGGATCATGTTTGAAAACTGTCCATTTATTTTCTTTAAAAACAACCACCACACATTCTTTCTACCTCAGTGATTCTCAGACAGTCTAGTGCTCTGGGATTGCTAGGCTGCTGTGACAGGGGGCTAAGAGATATCCTAGAATCTTATGCAACTCTTTTGGGATCATCATCAGCTTATGCATGCCAGACCAGAGACATCTGTGCTGTGCTGACTTCCAGGCTCTCAGTGAGTGGCACCCTTATGCAAAAACATGGAACCCCAGCATGCTCTGATATAGCCTGCACTACAGATAACATGTAAACTAAGCAAGGTCCCAGAAGCAGCAGCCCTGCTCAGGAAGTACAGCGCTACCCACAGACCACATCCAACTGAGCAAGGGAATGCCTGCAGATGGTATTAACAGTGTTGACTTATAATTGCAAGAAAGGTGTCTGCCCACAGTACGTGGAGCTGAGCAAGCAAACAGCATCCAATTTTAATTCACAGCAACACTAAATGTATGAGAACTTTGGGAAACACTGCTTCAGGCTGCGAGGTTTCTCATGTCATAAAATGTCTAGTAAAATTGAAGTCATTCAGAAATCTCTGAAAACATGTTTTGATTATTGTTGGAACCACATGTATTGCTGGCTTCCACTTAACTTAATTGCAGCCATGGGAACATAGAGGAGAACTTGCCAGTAAGTGCTTAATTAACATTTGGGTTTTGACAGTTACCATTTAATCTTAGTTAAGCTGGAATCCTGGCTAACATTAAGGTGGAACTGGGAATTCGTTCGTGGGGTAATGAATTTCTTTGGTTGTCTCAGCCATGAATAATTAGGAGTACCAGTCCTAGGTCTCAGTTCTTAAGCTGATTCATATTAATTAGGATCTGAGTACTGTGGTGTTTTAAGTACTGAGAAATGGACTTGGAAGCTGAACTGGGACATTGTCAGCTTCCATGAAATGTGCACATGTCCTGCATGCCATTCTGTCACTTCATGCAAAGAGCAGCAGAGGGCAGTCTTCCATTGGGCTTGTCTTCCTTTGACTCACGGATTGAATTAAATAACAAGAGAACAGGCAGGATATAACAAAATTCAACATTAGTGTAGCTAAATGTTGTGCAGCCAGACTTTCTTAAGTATGAAATTAAGTGTTTCAATATATCTCCTCCTCTTCCTCCTCCTCTTCTTCTTTTGCACATAACAAACTGATGATGTATCATCATGTCTTTTTCAGTTCTTTAACACAAATACCTACATAGTGTCATACTGTATTTTTCATATGGTAGGAAACATACAGATATAGCAAAAATGTGTTGTACAAGGCATGGAAACAAAACAAAAAGTTTCTAATTACTTCCAGCTACTCTCAGGGTTCAAAAAAAATCAACATAAGTAAGAAATCCCATTTCTCTGTACTTCAAAGCAAGAGCAGGGAGGAGTGCTTTGGACTACAGGTGTCAATGCACTGAACTCTTCCTATGGTCTCTGCTTTTGCCCTACTACCCAACAAGCAAAACTACCCTCTGCGGTGTTCCAGATGCATGCTTATGAAGTGTAACATGAATTTCCATGGCCAAGTGGGCATCTGAAACCAGATCCTTTAATCTTAGCCCAATGCTCTATCACTATACCACACCGACTTTCCTTTAAAGAAACTGAAGGCACGCCAAAACTGTGCTTATTTTTTATATATTAAAAAATAAAAACATTTAAGATTTTTTTTAAAAAAACCTAGATGGTTTAGTTCATTGGCTATGGAAACTTTGGTATCACAATCACAAATAGCTGGACTACTACCAGGACTCACTAAGCGAGGGATGGCAAACCTATGGCACGCGTGCCACAGCTGAAACGCAGAGCCCCTTCTGCGGGCACGCGAGCCATAAGTCACCGGATCGCTACCCTTGGCAGCCAAACCTGAGGAGGTGGCTGCAGCTGCAGTGCTAGCACCCCAACAGGTGGCGGGCCAGGATGCGGAGCAGCTGAGCATGACTGAGCATGACTGGAGGTGCATCCGGAGTGTGGGCTGGAGGTACCTCCATGTCCGGGATTCCTCCTTCCACTGCCGCTGCCGCTGCCTGCTGGGTCGGCCCCCCTCCCCAGTTTGGGCACTTGGCCTCAAAAAGGTTAGCCATCACCGCACTAGGCCTTATATAACAATTGCTCTGTATTAAAATCCACCTTTAAGTAAAGCTCTCTGCCTTTCATTTTATAGGACAGTGCCTTTCAAAAAAGGAAAAGAAAATGCCCTCTCCTGAATCAAGAGGATCATCAGCCAGAATTCTCGATCAGCACCTACACGTTTATAGCTGTTACAAATGAATTTAGGGATTTCTACCCTCTCATATCTTGCATGTGTGCCATATGTCATAATTTGTTTTAATTAATTGTATCAGATAGAGGTTTACTCCTGCTTTTTGCACTCTCACTGGCAGAGACCTCTCAGCATTCTGAGTGGACACAGACTTTTACAAACCGATATTTATTTGGTTCCAAAAACATGAGCAAGCACTGCTTCCTGTTCTAATAGGCCCCTCAGGTAGCTGTAAGGCACTTTGTAGAAAGCTTTAAAGGAGAAAGTGTTAAATTCTCTTGATTTTTTAAAACTAATTTCACTTGAGTTCTGGACTCACATTAGAATCACCTGTATAATCACAACACATGCTGTTCTTCTTACAATATTTTTTAATATTTTTATTATGTGATGTAGAATGTTACACTTGCCACAACAGAATATTAAGCTTGTCATAGCTTTTTCTCACACCTGAACAACTACATCTGATCTGCCCCAGCTATGTCTGGTTTTGTTTCTGTCAAGTTTGCTGTCACTGTCAGAACGTGTGTGTGTGTGTGTGTGTGTGTGTGTGTGTGTGTGTGTGCGTGCGTGCGTGCGTGCGCGTGTGCATGCGCGCGCACACACACGTGCACGTGCACACACGCACACACGCACACGCACACGCACACACACACACGAGCATGAGGGGGAAGAAAACCAGCTGCTCTTTCTCAATGAATGTTTCTTTGGACTGAATTCCTTGCAAGGTGCATGCAACATCCCCAAATACGGCCGCCACCACCGCCCTACTTATAAAATCATTTCATAGCATAGAAAAAGAATGTGTGAGATCCAGAGCCATCTTAAAAACCCTCATATTGAAACATGTTTAAACATAATCATGTGTCATCTTGTGAGACACATCTATCTGATTTAGGCAGAAAAACACACTGAAGGCACACCCCGAAGCCTAGGAAATTTGTATCATAAAATCAGGAGCAATGTCACCTGGCTCCTCACATTGCTAGCCCACAATTCTCACTTTTTAGACATGATATATACTTTGTGTTCTGAAATTTTTTAATAAGATAATTTACTTTTAAGGTAACAACAACAACAACAACAATAATAATAATAATAATGTTACCTTATCCAAACAAGTAAACAGCCTCACATTAGTATTACCTGTGCTACACACTCTTGCAAATTGGAAGCAACTTGGTTCTGTTCCTCCTTGAGGATTTTGTAGAGGATTGCACGCCGTTCACTGTCCTTCCGTAATAAGAACAGACCAGAATCTTTTTCCTCAAGGGAAGGGGAAGAACTTCGCTCATCCGAAATTGAACTGTCATCAGGAACACTAGGTCAGAAAATGACAGATTCACTGGAAACTGCAAATAATCAAATTGGGAAAACAGCAACACTAACCCAATATTTACACAATTTTTCACTTTGTGATATGCAATGACAAAGTTTTACCCTATACAGCAGACATGAAGCCAGCCGTAAATCCAGTAGCCATGATCTAATTTACACTTCATGAGTTTATTCAGATCTTATTTTGGAACATACCTTAAACAAGGAAACTTAGCCCACGTATCTGGCTATCCAATTTGGAACTTTCATGTTTCTTCTGCACCCCGCCCCCGCCTCTGCAGTGTCCAGCCAGATGAAGATCTCAACAGAGGTGGAAAGTTAGCTTCCATTTGTGATTTTTAAAATAGTCTAATAAAGATTATTACACAATTCTTCCCTTTAGACTGTATACAAGAACCACGTTGCTTCTGCCCCCACCCCCACCCCGAAATCTCATTGTTAGATTTGACTAGCACAAACCCAGAGAAACAAAGGGACTTGTTACTTCAGCACATACATGAGTCCCACTGATTCAGTGGCTGAAATCCTGTTGCTTAAAGCAGTAAGTTGCAATGAGAGTAGGCCCACTGAATCAATGAAACTCACAAAGTTGACTCATTAAATCCCCACTTAGTCAATGGGCCTACTCTAGTTGTGACTTAATCCACTCAGCCACAGGACTTCAGCCAATAAGTCTCACTCTGGTTGGGGATCACAACTGGATATAGGCTAAAATCAACAGTAACAGGACAGTCTAACCGTAATATGGAACTTGTTTATTTGAAGAGTGTACCCCTCTTTCTCAACAGATTGTCTTACAATTCCAACAAGAGTCTTACTATGCATATGTAAACAAACCTTTAACACCAAATGATCCTTTTGCTGTGCCTCACACACTGGTTTTAACCTTTTAGAACAGTACCTTATCTACTGAATATACGAACGGTGGGTATCTGTAAGGAACTTAATACTGTTTTTCACATAGGTCTGGTTTTACCTCAGCAAATGTGAAATGGGATTCTTTGCTTGAATCTCTGACACAGAGCGCTTTGCCTTTTCAAATAACACATCATGTTGTATATCAGAGTCTGGTGAGACAGAGCCGTGTTCACTGCTGCTGCTGCCCACCTGCTCTCCTTGGATGGGCAAAGGGAGAGATGTGCTACGGTTAAAATCTGGAACACAGGGGGGGAAAAAGGAAATGGCTAAGAAAATTCACCCACAGCATTTTTCGGCAAATGAAATAATAGAATCATAATCAAAAGTCAATGAGTCAATGTAAAAACTATGAATAAATGAAATGAAGCCACTGAGAAAAGCGGTTTGTTTTTCAAGCAGCAGAAATAAATGGTTTATGTGGGGGGAAAACCTCAACCTTTATCTAAAGGAAGAGTTTAATCAACCTTTCCCAGTGCATCCACCTAGGAAGTAGACTAAAGGAGACCTTGTGTTTGATCTCCAACCACTGAAAGAATTATTCCTCATGTGAAAGTGGACTTACAGGCCACATTCTGTTGGAAATTGGCTTGTTTCAGCTGTTTAAGCACTGAGATTTGGTATAAGATTTCTGCCTTGAAAAATCTAAATCAGCATTTGCTCAGAAATCTTTCTGGCAGAATTTCTTGGCCTTTTTTCTTTGAGATTCCTCACTGTATTTAAAATGCTGGATACCTGTTACCCTATATTTACTTTGAGTATTTATAAAAATATATGTGAGCGAACTGTAGTTCTCCAGATATTATTGTACTGCAAATCCTGTTACCCCACTGGCTAAAGCTGGCTGCAGTTGATGGCGCTGCAATCCAAGGAGATCTGGAGGGCTACAAATTAGCCACCTTTTAAAGGATTTCCAGTAAAAAAAAATTCTCTGCTTTGAAACGTTTGGTCCAAGTATTCTTCTTCCTTTATTGGAGAAAGAGCAGGACTCTTGTTTCACTCAGTTTGTTATTTTTTTTGAATTGTTTACATTAAAATTAAAACCAATGTGCACCATAAAAATAGTTTTCACAGTTTGTTTATTTCTTGCATGTCTCGAATCTACCTTGTAGATTTCTTTCTTACTTCTTTTTATTTCTCTGCTGCTTTTCTGCCAGTCACAAGACCAAAAGCAGTTTGGTATGTCAAGCACTCAGAATCAAACAGAAGGATAATTATTACAATTTCTTTACATGACCTATAGTTATATTATAGGTATTTTGGCTGATATAATTCATTACCTGAAGGTTTGAATGCAATTCTGTTTTTCTTGCCTTTGTTAACTTGTTTCAGGAATGGGTCTTTAAGTAAATCAGATGCTGTAACACGTTTATTTGGATCAGGTTCAAAGCAGAGCAAAATAAAGGCTCTTGCTTCAGCTGACAGCGATTCTGGGATTTCAGGATGAATTTTGAACATCCCAACCTGCAAGTAATAAGAATGGTCTCTATAACTGACTTGTTTAATTACATATAATGAAAGATTTAACATAGCACTGTACCAATTCAAAGTCATGTTGATTAACTTCCCTCTTAGAACTAGAAAAGCCTACACAACCACACACATCCATATACACAGACACAGTCACAGATGCACATGCACACACATACATATTGATAGATTGGTATGACAATGTATGCAACAATCTTCGAAAACCTGTTGCTTTGTTACATAAAAGGCATAAGATTCAGTTGGTGAAATAATGCCTCTAAATCTATGTTCTGAAAACTCTCAGGAGATACCCCATAGACTTGTGTGGATTCTGTTTCTCAGTCTCTTCAGCCCTCTTCTACCTGATCACTGCTTCTAAACACTGGTTGTGGACCTACACTTTGACAACCAGCTGTTTACCGACTGAAATCTCTCCCTGCTGCATCATATCAGTGTGTAAACAAGACTGGTGATAAGAGCAATTATAATTAAGCTGCTAGGTAATACTGGGGAAGTACCGCTTCTGGCAATTACAGTGTGCCCTTTCCTTTTTCTATGGGGGTTATTGACTTGGAAGGTATAAAGTTGTTAATTTGGTGCAACTTCACAGCACTGTTAGAAAAGTTACTTTTTTGAGTGTCATCCTGAGTAACCCCCATGTAGCACGACGAGTAGCCATATGCACTGTGAGATACATCAGGCTGAGAACCAATGAGCTTCAGGGTCCAAAGGGAACTTGAACTGTGATCTTTCACATCACAATCCAACAATCTTACCTTTATACAACATTGGCACAGATTTCCAACACACTTCAAGCTGCTGGTCCTTACTTCTAAAGTAATTCACAGCTATGGCCCCAAATTTCTTAGAGATTCCTCTTTTTGTTTTTGTTTTTTGGTAACGCACCTCCACCCCCAACTTTGGCTGTTCTATCAGCCCTTTGGTTTGTGTGCCAGCTTCACAGGATATGGAAACTGTGACAAACAGAAGCGGGGCCTTTACCTCAAATGGATCAGACTATGCTATGATGTCCTGACTGAGGTATGCAGTGATCTTTTTTTAAAAGGGCCTTTAAAAATGTTGCACAACATACTTTTTCCTCTAGGTTTTGCCTCGGCTGGTCAGGTGAAGGACCAGAGATTCAGTAGAAGAGCATGTGCTTTGCATGTGTTTTCCAGATCTAATCTCTGAGCTAGGTGGACCCGTGGTCTGCTTCAGGAAGGGAGCCTCCCATAATCCTATGAAACAGGACTGTTTTGTGTTGTAGGGTCAGGTGAAGCACTGTTCTTTTGTGGGGGTGGTTAAATATTCTTTTAACTACTACTCAGTGCTAGTCGCCTCAAACTTATTAATATTATTCAATACATTCATACTAGGTTGGCTGACCAAATATTAATTTGATCATTTGATTGATAGTGCCACATGGTGGCTGGTATTCCAGGAAACTTTAAAACTATATGTTTCTGTGTTTTCCGTCAACCCCAGTATTGAAAAAAAAAAACCAAGCTTTCCTTATTGTTGCAGTGTGCCATGCCACTGTGTAAAACCAGTTGAAAATTTTGCTGAAGCCTCCCCAACTGAATGAACAGCCTAGATATTTTTGACTAGTTTGTACTTTCCTACCTACACTCTAACAATACAAAGGATCTGTACCAGTATATGCGAAGCAAACACATTTGTCACAGTGACACTGCAAGCCTATTAACTCAGTGATAAAAATCCCAGCTTAAGTAAGACATCCAAGCAAGGCTGCTGGAATAAATGAACTTTGATTATGTCCATTATGAACTGGATTAGGCCAACCAGTCTTTGTCAGAATGTATAATCTTTCACTAACAACACTTACTTTGAACATAGCTGCTTGTGGTTCCCCCAGTTCATGAAATGGAGGCTTCCCTGTGGCCATTTCAATAACAGTGCACCCCAACGACCAAATATCAGCTGGCGCACCATATCCTCGAGGCCCCTTATCAATTATTTCGGGAGCCATATACTGCAAAGTTCCTAAAGTGGTGAAAAAGAAGAGCTGTTAGTGACTCCCCACCCCATCTCCGAATAGGTCTCTTCTCATTATCTTGACTGTGAAATGCCATTTGCTAAACAGATGGACTTTACAGATGGGGAAGTGCCAATGGAACTAACTCGGCTGCTAGACTGCATTTCACCACAATTTTTCTGGATGGCTGCCTTTGCTTATGCAACTTGTTTCAAAAGGAAGAAAATGCATTTAATCCATTTCACTAGCATGAAAAGATTACCTTGACTATATTTTCCACATTTTTACACATGCAAAGACTTTCAACCTGGATACAATCTAGTGGTGCAAAAAATTACTGAGTAACTAGGGCCTGGGTGGGTAAGTTTGTAGTTTTAAAACAACAAGCTCATTATAGACTAACTTTAGTTTTAATCTTAACAAGAGTAGTAGCATGGAGATCAATGTGATTTTAGTGTTGTCTGAAGTGTCCCATTCATTTCATGGATCTGCTTTTGTTTAGATCAATTTAGATTAATCTATTTGTATATCTTGGTGTTCACAAGGAAGTCTCCGTGATGTCACTGGCAGCCCTGCCTAACTAGTAAAGCCACAGTCTTTAATGCTCTCAGATAACAGATCTCACATTAATCGAACGTCGTTTATTTCGACTGTGATGTTTTACTGTCATTTAATGATATTCTATGATTTTGTAAGCCACCCCGAGTAGATGCTGTCTAGGGGGGTGGGGTATAAATCAAATGAATCAAGTAAAATAAAATAAATAATCATAAGCATCTGACTCATCCTGAGTTAACAGCCTGTACACTTCTTCTGATTCAGGCTGTGATCCTCTGTCCCTTCAGCTGGGAATAAGATGTCAATGGAACTGTTAGGTTTTTTTCCCCCCAAGAGCATATGGGAAACAAGAAAAGGTAGTATTCAATGAATATTCATGTGGGAGCTGATACTTAGCTTCTGAAATTAGAGTCATCACAACAGCCTTGAAAAAAAACCTCACAGAAATAATGAGCAGCTGTAACACAACACCTCTGGTAGTTTTTTTACTCATCTGTGTAAGGGCTGTTGTGTGATTGAAATATTTAGCAAATAGTTGAATATTCCAGATGGAAAAGCATTATTGAAGCACGTTAGCATAATGGGGGTACTTGGCATTCTGAAGGGAAAAGGATCTCTTGAAAAGAAGGAGGAATTGACAGAGCTTAGAAAAGTTACTTTTTTGGACTATAAGTCCCAGTGTTCTAGCCAGGTAGGTTGGAAACACATTCCAGGAGTTGAATATGATAACATTTCAAAATTCAGAGGAAACAATATCTTTGAATCATGATAAATCAAATGAACAACTGGAAAGGCCAGGATCACATTTTAGAGAGTTACAGATTGATAAAGGAAACAAGATCTTTGCTATACATATATTTATTCAGGAGTAAACCCCACTGTTTTCACTGGGAGCTATCTACAGTAGTCGCTTGCCACTAGATGGGCAGGATAGAAATTTAACAAGTTTAATAAATATATGTATATTTACATCTCTATTCATGGTTAGCACATATTTTCAAGTATTTTCATTGTTTCTGCTCATTTTAAGCCATTTCCACACATGTATATTAAAATGCAAGCAATACGCATATTCCTGGTAGACAGTAATACAGTGGTGCCTTGCTTAATGGGCGCCCTGTTTAACGATGAAATCGCATAACGACGAAGATTTTGCAATCACTTTGCGATGTTCCCTATGGGGAAAAACCGCTTTGCGATGTTCGGTACCTTGTTTCGCTTACTGATCATCGCAAAGCAATGATTTTTTAACAGCTGATTGGTGGTTCCAAAATGGCCACCGGGTAAAAAAAATGGCTGCCTGCTGTTTTCTGGGATGGATTCCTCGCTTACCGGGCAGCAAAAATGGCCGCGGTATGGAGGATTTTCGCTTTAAGGTGAGTTTTAAGCCCATAGGAACGCATTGAAGGGGCTTCAATGCATTCCCATGGGCTTTTTAATATCGCATAGCGACGAACTCGCTTTGCAGTGATTTTTTGCTGCACGGATTATCGTCGCTATGCGAGGCACCACTGTATGTGTATTGTGTATGATCAATTATGCTAATAGAAGGAAACTGAGGAAGAAACGCCCTATATATATATTTATTATCATTGTTAATTCTGACATTACAATTACTTTTAAAATAAGCAAAGGCAGGTGGAGATACACCATGATGGTAGCCAGCCTCAGCAACACAGATGGTGCCGAGAGAGAAATAAGCAAAGAGGTACATAAACCTTAAATGAACACAACTTCAGTGTTTCCAAGGAACAATAGATTTCACTTATACAAACAAGATTCCATGCACATCTGTCCTCCCTATACAAGCAAGACCCATTGATTTTAAATCTGGAAAAATGAAAAACTCAAAATCAATGAAACAAACAATATGTAATCATGTTAAGTCAGAGAAAGCGAACATCAATAGGCATTACTAGTTTATCCAGCTGTACCCTTTGGAACAGTTACATATTCACAGAGGTAGTATTTAACCACTTTACTCAAGCGTAAGATTCCCCAGCATAATTGATAACAGGAATGAGACACAGTAGTCAAGAAGTAACAGTGTATACAGTGATCAAAATACAGCCTTGTTAAAAAGGAAAGGAGGTCACTCTCTCTTTCTCTCTCTCTCTCTCAATCTCTTGCTCTGCATTGATCTAGGGATGCAGTCCTAAGCACACTCACTTGAAAATAACTCCCAATGAAAATAGGGGGGACTGACTCTTGAATAAATACATATAGAGTTAGGCTGTAAGAACATAATGCAAAGCAGGTGATGTGGTTAAAAGATCAAATCAGGCAGACCAAGTTCTAGGCCACTTCACAAATTATAGCATTCCTCAAGTGGCTAAAAGCTGATCAGCTGAAATACTGTTTTGTAGTTACACCAACAGAAGGAAAATGCATAATGTGCAGTGGCAAATCACTACTAATTAATGAGTCCTTGCTTAGCTTCTTTCCTCCCCATCCATCAGGTGGTTCAGTGTGCAACCAGGAATCCAAGTGCAGACTTGTTAATTAGAAGTAATTTGCCACTGTGAATTACGAAGTCCTTTCCACCAGTATAACTAAGTAACAGGATTTTGGCAATTGTGTGACTAATTTCTTACTTTTACATACAATGACTATTTTTGACCAGGAACTACCAAGCTCGACAGTGCTTTATGCTGTCACTTTGTATGAGGATGGAGAATGTCAACCCCTACCTTCCAGTATCTAGAAAGAGGCTCAGCAACCACATGAACTCTTTGAAGATGCCAGAGGACGTGAAGATGGCCTACAGTGTTGAAAGAAAGAAAGAAAGAAAGAAAGAAAGAAAGAAAGAAAGAAAGAAAGAAAGAAAGAAAGAAAGAAAGAAAGAAAGAAAGAAAGAAAGAAAGAAAGAAAGAAAGATTTCTATTACCTGTAAATGTTTCTGTACAGGGATTGACTCCTGCAAGACGTTTGGAAGTTCCAAAATCAGATATTTTTACTACTCCACTGTATGTATTTACTAAAACATTGTCTCCCTAAGAGAAAATAAAGAAGAAGAGACAGATGTAAACATCTCCAGAAACTCCGCCAAGATTTAACTGAATTCTGCATCTTTATATTTGTTAACAATACTTGGGAGGGATATTATAAAGTCGTCCTGAAAAAGCAACATGTATTAATATATGATAAATAAACATAGTGAAGCATATGAATGCTCACTTTTATGTCTCTGTGCACAATCTGGTTCTCATGGAGATACTTCAGGCCTTCTAGGATCTGCTTGGTGTAGAATTTAATTGTGGGTTCTTTCAGTGGTCCCCATTTTGACCTTAGGAGAGCAGAAAGGCTTCCTGGGGTTAGGCAGAAAAGAAAAGGTACAACATTATTCTTTTCAGGACAATCCTATTACAAATGAAACCCTATCACTGTATATCTATGTACAATAGGGCCCTATATCCACGGGACAAGTATCCACTGTTTCACTTGCAAATTGTTTACCTTACCCTGAGCAGGGGTTGGACTTGATGGTCTTACAGACCTCTTCCAACTCCATTATTCTATTATTTTATATAATTCTAAATGCTGAGCCCAAGTTCATATCGGGGCATGCCACTCATGGGACTCCCAAATGTTATGTGAACTGTTTTGCACTCTACTTGTTTGCACAGGGAGATACTGTAGACCTATTTGTGGTTTTCTGGTCAACCCACCAAAGCAATGGTGGGATCAGAGAGAGAGAAAGTGATAAGAGGGAGACAAAAGGTCTCTGTTTCCAAGCCCCTACAGTCTTACGAGAGGGAAGAATCAGTGCAGCCTCTATTGCTGAGTCTGAAGAGTTTGGCACAAGTGAGAACTAAGCACCGTCCAGCTACCTTTCCCTGGCAAAGAGATCACAGAATCTGGGGACCTGCCAGTTCTGCTTTTCCCATGTTGCCTGAATGCTTCCCAAATAATATACGTGAATTGACTGGCTCCCATGTTTTAAGCTGACCTCTTCCTTTTTCTCTTCCTGACTGTGACTATGCACGGTTACATGGAGTTTTAGTTCCACTGGTGTTTACTAAGATCTTGGTCTTAGAACTAATTTTAAACCAGTCAGCGTTCTGAGTGCAACAAAGTTATTTCTGTTAGTCTTGTAAAAGTGCAGGAAATTTACTAAAATGTTTCATTTGAAAAATGGAAAGTTGTAGTGCTCTGCCAGACCACAAGCACATTTATCTCCCTTGCATCTATGGTGACTTGGCAATGTATCTCCAGATAAAAATCTTGGTAATCCCTAATATGAGAAGCCAAAGGCTACACCTAGGACCTTTTACATGCTAAGCATGTGTGCTGCCCCTCAGCTACCACAATCTCCATGAGTCCAGCCTTCTACAACAAAATATTTTAGATACATTGATCATTTATTTGTACCTTTCTTGACCTCTAAACACATTTGAGAAACCTATTCTAGCACCAATAATAATGCACATAAGAAGTCAGCTGTGACATGTCTTTTGGATTTCGACCAAAACGAGCTCAGAACTGCAAAGAGAACTGTTAATACAATTCATCAGAGGTACTTTTTAATAGAAGCTGTGTTCAGGCTTTGCATTCCAAGGAGAATTCTCAACCTTTTATTCATTGCAGAGTTGGGTATAACTCCTCTTGCTGCAGGTAGAAACTAATTAACTGGGTTTTATTAAAATGTGCTAAGTCCATAGTCACCTGATCTCTACTCTTCCTGTTTCTGTAAATTACTTCTAAGACCAATCTTTCACTCTCCCCCACACCCCGCCACATTCTCTTTGGCTTGTAAGCTTGCCACTGCCAAGATGCTCTTCCACCTGACATTTGACTTTTAAGTGCCAACCCTCACATTCCAAGTACCTTCTGAAGGCCCATTTGTTAACCTTGCTTCTTCCAATTAATTTCCTTTCCCTTATCTTTCTTTTCTCCCTGCCTAACACTCTTGTCATGTACCCTGGGCTATATGTAAGTGTGAAAATTAGGCATGTGTTTTAATTTTTAATTCTGGAACAATAATCTTTTACAAATGCCCTTTATAAATAATTATACAGTGGACCCTTGACTTACAGACGGCTTGACTTACAGACTTTTTGAGTTACAGACTTCTCTGGCCGCAAAATTTAGGTTTGACTTGCAGACTGAGAATTGACTTACAGACCAGAAAAAAACCAAAATGGAACAAAAACGGCCTGTTACGGGATTAATCGGTTTTCAATGCACTGTAGGTCAATGGAGACTTGACCTACAGACTTTTTGACTTGAGAACCGCCTTCCAATACGGATTAAGTTCTCAAGTCAAGACCCCGCTGTAACAGAAAGACGTGTATATGTGTGTGTGTGTGTGTGTGTGTTTGTGTGTGTTTAGTATAACAGGTGTGCCTGAGTCAAATCCTAGATTCAGACTGTTCTACCTAAAATTTTATGTGAATGCAGCTTAAAAAATCAGAGTTTTGTATCTAAGCATTTCGCAGTACCACCCTGCATAATATAGAAATTACTTTTGTGTGAGACTAGTTATACCAGAACATGGTGGCACATTCTTGATTAAACAAATAATATATTCATGGGTTTTTTTCGTATACAGATTAGGTCCATATTGATTTGATTATAGGAAGTCCAAAATATTCTAGAGATGATTGAGAGGCAAATTAATATGAATGCAAAGTTTGACATTGATGTACAGGAAGGAACAAGGCAAAATTAGTATGATACAAACCTCCTGGGACCTGCTCCATGAAGATTTTAATGTATCCATCTTCAGAAACAGAACCAAGATACTGGACAATGTTTCGATGCTTTAAATATTTGTGAAGGGCAATTTCTTCATGCAGTGGCTGAGAATATCTATCACGACGAACATATACCATGAAAAATAGTTGAAACTTATAGAAGCCAGAAGAAAACCTACTAACCTAAAATATCTTACACCAGCAAGTAAGGGTTAACAACAATTCTACAACCATGAAATAATGACCCTACAATGGTTGCTACAATAATCCACAGTTCCAAAGGGAAGGACAGGACTCATGCTGTGGAAGTGTGCCTTCCGCTAGAGCTGGGAGGTAGAACCCACTACAAGGACAGGGTACTGCTTGTCACAGGGTTCAATAGTGCACAATAGTAGGACAGCTGTAGTTGCTACTCTGCTCCCATACCCAGGAATCAAGACACAGGACTTCTTGGTTGAACTGAACTAAGGAATGTAAGTTTATTAAACTGTATTAACGGGTCTGCAATGTTTATAACTAGCTACTAATAAAATATTCTCCTCGCAGTCCCTGTAGATATACCTGCTACAATTTTATGGTAGCACCTCCACCTCACCTTGGTGAGGGAATTCCATTGTGGCTTATGCTACAGAGAAATAGTAATTGTAATCTTTGCTCTTCTCCTTTGTCCATCTTAAAGGCTGTGTTGAAATCACCATGGCAGTGATACCAATCCAGCCACCCCTTGAGCTCTTGGGGCCTCCCTAATTGAAGACAGCCAGCTAAAAAGATTGGCTAGCTTCCGTTAACTATTTTGCCATTAATTTGTGTCTTATCCCACTCACATTACATCAGCTAAACTGTGATTTATTAACTGACTCATTAGGTCCACAGTGCAGAGTAGATGTCTTTTCTCCAACCACTGCTGCTGTGATGGAGGTGGTGCACTTCAAACGGCACACCCATACTTGAGTCTCACTGGTCACATCTAAAAGGCCTGTGTACTTGGTCTGGGACAGCCCTGACACATTTTCACCATTCCCTTTAAGATGACAGGACCAAAGTTCCACAACTATATTCCATGGCTGAAATTCAGTTCCACAACTTATATCACATAAGGCTGATGACCACCTTTCATGAGCAGCAACTTGCTGCTACTGCTGACATCATCCCTGTTGTGTAACGTAGAGTTGTGCAACAGGATTTCAGGCAATATGTTAAAACAAGCCTTGTCTGTCTTATTTCCAAGTTATATCTGAACACCACATGCTTGGCTTCAATTTATCTGTACAAGACTTCATATATCAGCTATGTCAGCTTAACTGCCATGGTATAAAGTGCTGCAGCAAATTGCCACTAGTTAACAAGTCACTGCTTGTATCCCTTGACATGCACTAATTGCATGAGTTGGTGCATGATAAATAATATGCGTGGCAACTTGTTAATTAGTGGCAATTTGCTACTGCCATTTATGCTATTATGTTGATGCCTTTGTAACTAATAGCACAGTCCAACAGGATCTATCATACAAGTTTTTATACTAGCCACATGCTTTTAGTTGTGTAGACAGGTTTTAAGCGCAATCTCCTTCTAAAGATTATAAAAGGGTATTCAGTACTCACATGTATGGAAGAAAGAATACTGTATATCAAAACTGACCTGCTGTCTCTCTCTGGTATTTCTTTGATGGCTATTCGGACCTGATTGCTAAGATCTCTTCCAGCATAAACAATCCCATAGGTTCCTTTGCCTAACACTACTCTGTCTCCATTCTCATCATAATCATACTCATACTGAAAGCAGAAAGGCACAAAGAAAGAAAATTTGAAGCACAAAGAAAGAATACTGTCAAAACAACAACCTGATTTTGACACATGCTATTAACAATGCTTTAATTGCCCTGAAGTTCAACAGAACTGGTAGCACTTAATAAGCAAGCATTTTTGTATATCTTCCATTTATGATGGGGTGTGCTGAACCTACAAAAATTGCGTTTGGTCTGATAAGGGCAATAGTCAGAGAGAAACACTGAACTGTTAAAAAAACTGGTCACATTTAAGACTTCATAAGCAGAATTCCCTTGCAATTTATACATTTTAGAGCATTTTTGGTTTGAAAGAAGAACTGGAACAAGGATGATAAAACAATGGTAAATGAACAAAAATGTTACATGTACAAAGATGTAAAAGGGCCATTTGAAAATGACTACGTATATGATGGTAGCATGTTTTGAAGCATAAATGCCAGAGATATAGCTGTATCACTTCAAAGGGCACAAGATATCAGTTCTCTCATTCACGTTTCTTGACTGGTCATAAGAACATAAGAGGCCTGCTGGATCAGGCCAAGGGCCCATCCAGTCCAGCTTCCTGCATCTCACAGTTGCCCCACCAGATGTTTCTGGGAGCACAGGAGACAACTAGACACCTGTCTCCAGACACCACTCCCCTGCATCTGGCATTTTGAGGTACAATTCTCTATTTCTTTGTCTCTCTACAGTAGTGCTAAAAAAACTAGCTCCTACAAGTATCTCACACATCTGTGGAAATCTGTCAATATGCCCTTGAAATTCTCTGAAGCTCATTCTGAAACAGCTGCTGAGCCTACAGAGTACGCAAGGGAAATCTTTGTATAGTTTAACATGACCTCGTCACCAAATGAGTTCACCTTCCAAACAGTTCCATTTTTCATGCTTCAGCACTTCACAGTTCATTGTAAGCTGCCGCCCAGAAATGACAGAGGGAGAGTAGGGTAATTTTTTTTTAGCATTACCCATATTCCACAGCTATAAAACAGTATCCAACAAGCAGAGGGGCTTCAGGACAGCAATCAAATTGGCAAAATATTAGCTCAAATATTATTTTTAGCACATTTCCACACAAAGCAATCCTATGTATGTTTACAATGAAGTCCTCCCGTGTTCATTGGGGCTTAATTTTAGGCAAGTATGCAGAGGACTGCAGGCTTGCTATATCCAAATATCTAAAGATAAACATTGTTGTGCAATGGGTAATAAATTCTACGTATATAGACAGCAGTTATCATGCCCCACTTCACATTTTAAGCAATCCTATCCAGACTGACATGATAAAGAGAGGGAATATAATGCATACTATACTAGTTTGCCTTTGTATAAGAACATGTTTTAATCAAGATGTAGAATAAATTGATCTTCTATATGACCTTGGCTGAGGAACGTCAAGTTCATCCTGTGTGGAATTCAACTACAGCTTTTCATGTACAGGAACTTTGTTGAAATCTGTATCCAGAGTGTAGATATGAAATTATGTTGTGTTCTCCAATCTTTTCTGTGAAGAGCTTCTTTTTTTTTAGTCTGCCATCATTCTATTATCATTTTCAGTGATACTTATCGAACCTTGATAAGCAACTGAGGCACATTATGCCTTTCTTGTTTATCTTGAAACTACCAAATATATGCTAGCGCTGTAACATGTGCTTTGTGAGTTAAGCAGGAAAAAAAAATACTTGAGCATAAATAAATAGCTCTCTGAATTAGGATATAATAACATTTATTTTGTAGAAGCAGTAGTGACACATCCCATGGCATATCTGGTTTAATTATGTGTCTCTGACCTTCTTCCTTCATATTTTATCCTTTAGGATTTAACAAGGCTTAAACAGAAGTGGTGTCCATAGGCCAAAGTTAAAAATATTATGTGAAAGAGCAGAATTAATCCCTCCCCCCAGTATTTGATGTTCAAATCCTAATGATTTTGGGCTAAGAACTAGAGCAAGGTAAAATAGGAGGAACTCATAAACTGTCTGATGTTGTTGGACTCCAACTGCAATGAGTTATTATACAGAGCATGAGTTCAACTGCTCTACAAAAAACAGTCCTGGTGTAGGAGTGCTTTATGGGATAGGTGAGTCCAGGCAAAAACAACAACAACATGTAGTTCAATTCTGTAAATTCCAGATTCATTTTCCTATTAATAAAAATATCAGTTTTCATACAAAGTTCTCCACTCATATATATAATTACAGTGGTGCCTCGTTTAACGACGAATCTGTATAGCGATGTGGATTTTGCGATCGCAAAAGCGATCGCATTGCGATTTTTAAATAGGGAAAACATTGCATTGTGATGATCGGTAAACGTTTCGCTTACCAATCTTCGCATTGCGATGTTTTAAAACAGCTGATCGACAGTTCAAAAATGGCCGCTGGGTCAACAAAATGGCCGGCCGCAGCATTTTCGTCTGGTTCCCTCGCTTACCAAGGCGGCGAAAATGGTGGCCAGATGGAAGATCTTCGCATAACAGTGAGTTGATCCCCCATAGGAACACACTGAAGGGGTTTCAATGCGTTCCTATGGGGTTTTTTGCCCCATACAGTGGGGTCTCTACTTAAGAACTTAATCCGTTTTGGAATGGTGTTCTTAAGTGGAAACGTTCTTAAGTTGAAGCAAAATTTCCCATAGGAATGGACTGAAAACCAATTAATCCGTTCTGGCTGTTTTTTTGTTATGTAGAGGTGCGTTCGTACATTGAAGCATTAGTTCCCATAGGAGCTAATGCAAAGCTGGTTAATATGTACTCTACCACTAGGGGGAGAATTTTTTTTTTAAACCTAAGATGACCTAAGGTTAAAAAAAGAGCAGGAAAGGTGTTTGTTTCCTGTTCTTATCTTGGATTTCTGTTCTCAAGTAGAAGCAAAATTTAGCAAATGGAGCTGTTCTTAAGTTGGATTGTTCTTAAGTAGAGACGTTCTTAACTAGAGACCCCACTCTATAGCGACGTTTCCGGATAGCGACAATTTATCCGGAACGGATTATTGTCGCTATGCGGGGCACCACTGTATATATAAATATCTGTTGTGTACATGCAAAAATCAGGTTTCTAGGATATGCCATTTGATTTACTGTGGTACAAATCTGTTGCAGCACATGTTTTCATTCCATAGGCCCTACATATTTAAACTTCTAAAAATGTACTTACTTCCAATGTGTCTCCATCAATTTCTGCTTCAAATTCCAGAGTACTTCCTACAGCATCAGTTAAAATTTCTTTAACCAGGCCACAGAATCTGAAAGCAACATGCATCTCACTTTTAAAATGATTAAAAGGCCATGTTTCAAATACTTTAGTGCTGAATGTCCTGTTTGTGCCAGTGTAATGTAAAGTTACACCAGTGTAAATGTGCCACATATAATACTGGCCAACAAAGGACTGTGCCATGCAATTGTGCAATAGGTCCTGAGTCCCCAGTTGTGCAATGTACCTGTGGAAGTGCCTGAGGCAGAACTCTTCCACCTCAGCCACTGTGCAACTACTGCAAGTGCAACACTGAGTTCTGTGTGCATAGTTGTGCAACAGGATTCTGGTCATTAATTCAAAAAGAAGCACTTACAACACACTTGCTGAAATCCTGTGGGCCAATTAAGCAAATAGTATAACTTCTAGACATGAATTGTCCTAAGTTAAGTAATCTCCATAGCCATTATCTCTTGGTGCGTCTTATGGAGCGAAAAATACGGTAATCTCCATAGCCATTATCTCTAGCCTGCTGAGTCATGCATATGGCAATTTGCTACCAACACTTGTGCTGTTTGCATAACTGTGCAACAGGATCTTTGTCTTTCACTTTGTTCTAGTTACTTTAAATCAGTGCTGGCTCAAAACATTTTTCTCTCTGCAATAAAACCTGAAGCAAAGAAGTACAGATGCACACAAGTAGTCAGTGCTGGGACAAGCAAGCTTATGTTACAAAAGGAATGCAATCAAAAGATAACTGGAGCTGAGAATGTCTAAAACATGATCCCTCTATATCACTATTATTTAATGGGTCACGTCTGTTGTTTCAATTTTTTGTTAGTTTTAATGACCTGTGAGTTGCCTTGAGACCCTTTTCTGGGAGAAAGGCAGCATAAAAGTGCAGCAAAAAAACCCACCCCCTTTTTAAAAGACTGCACGTATACAACTTCTGATGTAATTTTCATTAATAAGAAGGTTCTAAGTCACATTATAGTTGCTGTTTAAAGCCACTGAAATCAGTCAAGAATGAATGTAAAAGTAAAATGACTTAACAGAGTTTGGTACAAAGGTCCCTTGTAAGCTCCTTTTTTAAAGAAGAGATCTGAAGCTGACGTGAACCAGAAAAATATTAAGCGGCCCTGTGAACTGTTCAGTACCAATTGTTCAGTACTGTACTAATTTTGTTCTATACTACAGCAGGCTGCATGTAAGTTAACTTTCTATGTATTTCTCACTTTCCACAAACAATTTCAGATGCAGTCAAATATCAGTGCACATTCAAGATGCTCCTTTTTGTTAGGTCCCAGATTTTGAAAAGCATATGTATATTTGGACAGGCTACTGTGGTGGTTATGAAAAACAAAGTCAAACAAACTTCTCACCTAGAACACTGGTTCTCTGTAGAAAAGTATATTTGAAAGTCATCAGAGTTGTCGTGAACATAGAGAAAACAGCATCGTTCATCAAATTTAGATATGCTGCAAAAAGTCCAGTGAAAACAGTTATTGCTGGGCAGAACTGACATGAGTAAGGGGAGATACTAGTTAGGAGATGAAGAGAAGCAATTAGTTATATGTAGTTTGACACACACATTATCTCAGTCTTCCTCCTACCATCGCAAAGGCAGAAAATCAAACAGATATACAGTAGCAGAACTGTTACTTTTTAAAAATGTTTGCCTTCTGATTGACTGCTCAAAATACATATTAATTAATTAATTAATTGGTTTATCTACCAACTCTGAAGATTCCGTTGTTCACAATATCTCTGGTTTATGAATGTGGGATATCTAGCTTCTGTATTCATCAATTCAAAATTCCTGGTAATGGCCCCATATTGCTGTATACCATTGTGCCCATATGGCCAGCAGGAAAAAGGATGCCAAACTTTACACAGCAAAGAGCAGCTTAAATATGGATGACACCAAGGCAGCAGTCAAGATGGTCCAAATGTTCCCCTCTCATGCTCAGTACCATTCATAAAGAGACACCAAGCAGGGTGTCTCAGAACATGACTTCTTTTTTCATCAGTTAACCGTTTATCACCCAAATACAAAACAATTCTCATTTTTCAATAAGTACAGGTACTATTTATTTATTTATTTACAATATTTTTAGCTGCACCATTACCAGTGGCTATTGTGGGCAATTTCTCTGAAGACATATGGCAAAATGTCCCTCTTACTGAAGCACTGCCACTCCATTACTTTCTTTTAAGCAAAACCAGTTCTTTTAAAGAACCTTTACAGAAAACCTGTAACTTCGGTCTGTGTCTGTGACCTTTCTCTCCAAATAACTCCTTCCCCTGCCCATGAATGTACACAATGTTTCATTTCACAAAGTTCCTGATGGCAAGTCTGTACTACGCATGCTCAGTCTTATAATAAAGTGGCTGTTTTTCCCTTTTAAAGGGTTTTGTTTTTGAAGATCAATATTTCAGCCTCTACAATTTGGATTTTTTCTAAATAAAAAAGTGGGTAGGACCAACTGCTCTCTTTCAAGGTAAGAGAGATTGGTTTTATCAGATTATGTGATCTGTTTTAAATCTGAGGTCATTTGGGTTCACCTATTTCTGAATGGGAGTAACACTTTTACTTTAAAAAAATCATAACTTGAAAACCCTTTATCCAAACCTCCCCACATTGGGCACAGAGCAGGAGCAGATAGCCTGCTATAACTGTATCAAATGTGGTGTTGATCCAAAACCCAGTTTCAAAGTTATAATGTTTTGTTAGGGCTACCTCTATTTTTAGAATTGCTTGCTAGAATGTCAATTTGCTCTGCTGCATAATAAGAGGTACAATCTCATTAGGCCATAATAAAACACACAAAGGTTAATAAACCTACATAATGGTTGAAATCCTATTGTGTAGTATAGTAACAGTGTAGTATAGTACATAGTACCTCAACTTAAGAACTTAATCAGTATTGGGACTGTGTTCTTAAGTCGAAACAGTCTTAAGTTGAAGCACCATTTCCCATAGGAATGTATTGAAAACCATTTAATCTGTATCTATTGTTTTTCGTTCTTAAGTCAAGGCGCTGTTCTTAAATTGAAGCATTAGTTCCCATAGGAACTAATGCAAAGTTGGTTAATCCATATCTACCACTAGGGGGCAAATTTTAATTTTTTTTTCTTTTGACCTAAGGTGAACTTAGGTAAAAAAAAAAAGGGCAGGGACGTGTTTTTTTCTCTTTTTTTGGTTCTTAAGTCGAGGCTCCGTTCTCAAGTCGAAGCTACTTTTTGTGAACGGAGCCGCTCTTAACTCGAATCATTCTTATGTAGGGACTTTCTCAAGTTGAGGTACCACTGTAAGTCACACTAGAGCAGCACATTGCATCAGTGGGATTTGGTGTCAACTCCTTTATGTTCCATTGATTCAAATGGGCCTAGTCACAACTTAATTTTGTTGCAGCTTACTTTTGTAAGTCATAACTAGAGTAGGCCCATCTGACTCAATGAAAATTGCAGGAAGTAACTTACAGAAGCATTGACTCACCAAATTCTCACTGATTCAATGGATTGTCTCTAGCATAACTTTCTACAGTAAGCAACAATATATAAGTATAGCAAAGGAAGCCACAAAAGGTTGCATGGTAGAATAGCGGGAAAGATACAGTATTTGACCTTCAAAGAAATGACAATATAGGATTGGCATTCCTAGCAGATAACGAACTGTTTTGCTGATTTTTCTTTCTCAGATTTCTTGCTGCTGCACCACAAGCCTTTTCAGATCAGATTCCAAATCCAATTATGAGCAAAGATATTTTCAGATTCAAAGGGCTAGAAAAGTATATGTAGCAACTGAAAGAAAAGTCACCCACTTTCCCAACACTTTTTCCAAAAGACATGTACAAAATCCTTGCAGTTCAAATTGCTGAGGTTTGCAGATAGTGTTTGTTTAGACTTTTATGCATGACACAGATAAATCCATACCACACGAGATGAGCAAAAGGGGAAAGCAATGACAATTTTCAAGAGCTAAGCGAGGAAAAGCTAATCAATATCCATCCAAGTTTCCAATTTGCCAATCTAAATATAACATTCTGTGCAGGAATGTATGAGGAAAGAAAGATGAAACTCACATTCTAAAAACTGTTTCATCAATGACAGTGTGAACATGAACAACATAACGAAACCTTATGTTTCAAGAAATACTGTTGTAGCTTAATGAAGATGAATTTATCAACCTTTCTTATAGCGCAGACAACAGAAGAGGTATTTGTATGAATTTTACAAGGGCCACACATCTGACTATCTTTAAAAAGTCTCTCAGGTCCTTTGTTTTAGGAAGGTTTATATTCTCTTCTCCATTGAAAAGGACTGTAATTGGTCGAGCTAGTAGCATTTGATCTAATCTTCCACAGATGAACAACTTTCTAAAATAAATTGTATCATACATGTAAGTCACACATTTTAACTGATTAACAGGACCACATTTAACCATGTAATAATGCTAGAGAATGGAGTCTACTAATACTTTCCCACTAAAATCAATGGGACTGAATGTACTTGTGAGCAACTTTGAGCAGACATAATCAAATCAATATCATTTAATTTAGTTGTTGCTAATTTAGAGTAGGACCTATGAAATTAACAGAACTTATGTCAGTTACAGCAACATTAAACTACATTGATTTCAACATAAATCCATCGATTTCAACAGAAATATGACTAAGCTTGGATCAAACTCTATATTGGAATACTTGTGAAGTGTTATCAAGAGCCAGACCTCCATTGTAACCAAGATGGCAGACTGGCTCCTGGTTCAGAAGGAATCTGGATAATATTAAACAAAGTGAAAGAGAGCTCAGTAGCACATCTTGTATATCTCAACTGCTAACAACATTACATTTTTGCAGGCCCTTTCAAAATCTCACACAGATGTATGATAATTAATAAATTCTATTGAATTTTCTTTTTTCAGAATTTGGAAAGAAGGGCTAATTTCCCAAATGTGACTTACGATTATTTCAACATTCTTGTGTGTGAAACATTTGAAAATGTTGACTACAGCAACACTCAAGATCCAAAAATCACTTTAAAAACAGAATGAAGATACATACAAATTAAGTCAAGTTCAAAGACACAACCACTAAGGAAAGCAAGGAAAAGAAAGAGCAAGTTAATTGGTAAAAGTTAATAATAGATAGGTCCTGCTTCTAGAACATAAACTATTTGTACTGTATTGCTTATATCTCAAAACAGAATTCCTAGCACCAGAATTCCTAGCCCTTGTCCACCTTGGATAGAGGTATGAAAAGAGCTCACTATCATAAAGCCACACAACATAGTGAAGGAAATAGGTGACACAAAAATGAAACCATCTGAAGAACACCAACCTTATTCCTCTAATGGAAGAAGCTGTAAAATTCCATTCATGAATCTGTTTCTGCAAATTGACATTGAAAAAGCAAGTTATTTCAAATGAAGATGCCAGGCCATGTAATCCCATCAGATCTGTGTCACAAATATCTTGTCAGTCTTTTGTTTGGATGCAGTACATAGTAATATATGCAAGGTTGTCTGTTCAATTCATTTAAGGCAACAAGGTCGAAAGGATTTTGATGTATATTAGAAGACATAACCTTGCAAGACAATTACCTTGTTTGGATATAATGATACACCATGAAATTCAGTCTTCAACTCATGGACTCTCCCTCTCCTCTGCCACAGCTGGGGAGGAGCCCAGAAGTTCTGGCTTCTAATTTAGACTAGTCATGTTTAAGCATTTTATTAAACCTCAGTCAAACTTAGCTTGGCAATGCTATTTTTTCACTATAACTCTTAGAATCTCCTAGCAAATATAGCCATTGGCCAATTATAGGAGTGATTTGTAAGAACTCTGCTTTTGTTTCATAATGAGAATTCAAGAAACTGAATCTTTGTCGGGATTCAGAATTTTAGGAAGTGTAACTAAAATATGTTATAGTTAAAATAAATATAAGAGGAGATTAAATAATCTTAAATCAAATTCAATATATTCTACAGTATTTTGTTATGCAAACAGTTATTGATAATTTTTTATGTGACTCGTATTTATTGAAGCAAACTATAAGAGATCTTGTTGGTAAGTGGTAAGTTGGTATGTGGTTGTGCAATGTAGAAGAAAACTCTTACCATTTCAGTAGGAGATACATGCCAAAGGGAAACAGTTCTCTCATCTGCTTCATTGTTGATGGAAACATATGCAGGCTGATACACCTTAGTTGGTTCTATCACTAACACCTAAATAGAGCACAGATTGAATTAGTGAAATCTCATTACTAACATAACACAGACTTTTAGCATAACCATCAGAATGCTAGTGCTAAGGCTGCAATCCCAGACTTGCTAGGGAGTCAACCCCACTGAGCATGGAGAGGTTTGTATCTACAGCATAGGACTACACAGTGAATTTGCACACAATAAATAACCATGACCTCCTCTTTGAAAAATGGAAAATAGATTCTAAAGCTCCATACAGTGTCTTATATTGCTTTTCTTGCCTTTTCATACACAATATGCAATTTGACTCATGGATATTACTAATGTACATGCACATTACATGAAAACTCTCTTCTTAGAGTCATTCAAACAGGAGCGTGTCAGGAGCTGTGGAGGAGGGGAATCCCAAGTTTTAGGAAAAGGGAGAGGAAGGATGGGAACCCAAAAAATTAATGAGAATTGACCATGCTCATTAGGTATGGAATGCCAACTGATTGTGGTGAGAGAGAAATGGAAACCTGAGTGTGCAAGTAAATGCAACTGTGTTTCCTTTTGTCCTAGAAAAAGGCAAGGCTGACTGAACAGGAACATTTCACCCTCCAATTTGTTATGTGCCAATCAGAACACTTTCTACCTTGTGATATGCTGAGCAAAATTATCAACAGAATGAGTAAGGCCTGTTCAGGTAACAGAAACCTTAATGCTTAAGGTTTACAACCAGATTGTTCACAAGTTTTTAATGTATAGGATTACAACTCTTCTCATCTCTAATCACTGTCCATGCTGGCTGGGCTGATGGGAGTTGTAATCCAAACAGAGTAGAGACCTACTGTTCTCCCCCTATAAAACATGAGTGCTCTTGGACCATTTGATTCTGTCTGATAGTGTCTCAGCAAGCATAAAATACACTTGTTCATTAGCTGGCTGAAACAGCATTAATATGTTGCAAAGCATACAATATACTGTATGTTATTTTGGTAACTGGGAACTTTAAATAAAGACAAGCTTGTCTCTATTGACATATGACAAGTGATGGGTCTCCCTTCACTCACTGAAGGTCTGTTCTGAGGCAAGGGTGGGAAGATAAGAGGCAATTTCATGATCACAGGTTCTCTGGAAAAACAAAAGGACTGTTATCCTCATGCTCACCACGTGGCTGGCTGGGTCTGCGAAAGGACTTTGCATACAGACCAGATAAGCACAAACTTAACTCTAGTGAAGTGCTGGCATCAGCTGAGGCTCAATCCATTCAGTCATCACTGGGTATCTTTCACCCAGTTGCCCTATGCATGTATTGGCATTGTCAGAGAGTGACCAAAAGATCTCCTGTATGGAGAATTAGTGCAGGGGGAGATCACAGCTGTGATACAAGGACATCTTTAAGCAGGATCTGAAGGCCTTAGGAATGGACCTCAACAGATGGGAAACCTTGACATCTGAGCATTCAGCCTGGAGGCAGGTGGTGCATCATGGCCTCTCCCATTTGAACTGACACTTGTCCAGCAGGCCGAGGCAAAAAGGCAATCCCAAAACCAACAAAATTAGGGAGCTGGACAGGGGACAGACCGTATTTGTCTTCAGTATGGAAGGGATTGTCACTCTTGAATTGGCCTTCTCAGCCACACTAGACGCTGTTCCAAGTCCACCATTCTGAGCAAGTTACCATAGTCTCTTGAGACTGAAGGATGCCTATGTGTTACAACTTTATTGGGCCATGGCTGCTGTGGATGGGCACTGGAGTGAATCCAGCCTGAGGGAATGGAGACTATATGGCCATATTTTGTAGTGGGATCCCCTTAAAGGATCTTGGGGTACAGGCCTTGGTGAAGATAAGTCCAGCATGTGAGCAGTGAGTTGGCAGCAAGGGTGCTACCAAACAGTTGGGCACCTGGGTGGTACTCAATGCTCTCACACCATGCTTTGTTTCAGCAAGTGGGCTGGGTAGGTTGTTCACTGGTCAGCACCTGGGTCATCTGATTCCTGAATCCATTACCTATGTAGCTCTGCAGGTAAAACCAACAAAGTTTTGGCCATATTTCATCCATCCAAATAAGGTGTGTTGTCATTTCCTTGTGGCATTCCCATCAATACTGTTGCTGTGACAGCAGTATGAGGACAGATGCAAAACAAATTTTTTTTGCTTGCCCCAAAGTTTATGATTGTTTTAATGGAGTTGACTCCTAGGAATGTATATACAGAATTGGAGCCTCGGTCAATCAAACATATTCTACATCAGCTTGTGAGTTAGAGAGTCTTACTGGGAATCGCAGGCCATTCATTGTTTCTTTGGTTGCCTCAAAAATGATATCTAACCAGAAGTTCAATCTCTCTTGTCTAGGAGAGTGTTCTGCAGTGTGTTTCTTGAAACGCTGAATTAGCATCAGGTTCTGTACTAAGGATTTCAAATACCTGAAAACATATGCATATATACAATTAATTTTTTTAAACCCAGTACTGTAATTATTTTCTTTATCTTAAGAATGAAACAAGCTTTTCAAGGTTTACCATAAATCTGCCACTGAAAATAGATGGACTAGAAAACCAAGATTGCAAAGACTATTATTCCTTTTTAACATAAGATAGCTATTCAATCCAGCTGCCCCTACTAACTGAAGCAAAAGTTTCCTAATGATTTAAGCTTACAATTTACCGGTAGTTTGGCTGGCATATGAGTGATTTCCATAAAGAGACAAAATACATAGCTGGATCTACATTGCATTTCTATGTTCATTTTGTGAAAATAATTGTAGATTCTTGGGATGAATTCTTGTGAAGCTATTTACTCCTAATCTGCACTCCAAAATTAAATTGCTACTTTATGCCATACAAAAATTACCTGGTTGATTTTTTTAATTTTTTTTGCAAAACTGTTACATAAAATGATGGCATGCTAAGGCAGTTAAAGAGAATCACATTTAGGAAGAGAGGTCATCATCACACTCCAACAGATTTTTACACTTCAAATAGTTATGCAGAATTAAGAGTTTCACCAAGGATTGCCACTTCCATCCCATGGCTGAATGGACAGAAGAAAGCTGATATCTCATATAGAGACATCTATACAAATACATGAAAAATCCCCACTCTGCCTCAGTTGCTTTAAAGGATAAGTAGGAAACTCAAGAGCTGGTATAGCTAAGTGGGTTGGAGTGCCCAGCCAGCTGCCCAGCCCAAGAGGGCCCCAGAAGGTGGTGTTGGTAAAGCACTCCTGACTGCTTTATATGTAAAAAGCCCCTGGGAGGGTTGCCATAAATTGGAATTAATATGATGGCATATGAATTCATTAATTAAGAACTACTGAGTTGGTCCTCTGGATGTATAGTCCATATACCCACCTTTAAATATTATAGTCAATATGATTTCAGCACAAAATATTAGACTAAAGAATAGGAGAGGTAGTGCCATCCTAAACAGCATTCAGCATTGAAAACACCTTTATTGTGTAGAAAACAGAACATATGTTGCTTGCATATTTTCCTAAGAAGGCGAATATTGTCATTATGTAATTTTTTTAAAAAATCATGTCCTCAGCTTTGGAGAACTTATAGATTTAATCTTATGACAGATGTTACCTACCAAATGGGAGGTTTCAGTTTAAACAGCCTCTCTGCTGCCTGCACAGCTTTCCCAGTGTCGCTGGCCAACATGCTGACGCTGAAGAATTGCCCGACATCCCAGTAATTGTTCATTTTTTCCAGACTCCCTTTTCTTCCCAATAAACTGTTTAATCTTACACCTTGACAAATTTGCATAAAAAGGATTCTGTTACACCTAAATGCACACATACCCACACCTCTGTCTACAGGTATGGAATTGAATTATGGGTTACATATTAAAAAGTATTAGGCAGAGACAAATTTTATATGAAATTAGACATTGGCCTTTTATCTGCAATTAAATTATTATTGGAAAGACATGTGACAGATGAGAGTCTTACTCCATTTACACTTTTTGAGAGGAAACTATGGTAACATTCAAATGCGATCTAATATAGGGGTACCTATATTAGGAGATTCCAAGTGCGGTGTAGTGGATAGAGTGACAGAGTAGGACTCTGGAGAACAGGGTTCAAACCCCTGTGCAGCTATGGAAGCTCACCAGGGGTGTGGAACAACTGAGCTAATATTAAGGCAGCTCAGGCTGTGTTGAACCAAACCCTTCCCAACCTAAAAATGTAAGGACTTCCTTGACCCTGGTATAACTTTTTGGTGGCACAGTAGCCATGTCCCTGGGCTGAGAGGGGTTTGCATATGGTGTAACTCAGTCCCTCATCTGTTCCACCCCTTCCTTCCTTCCTTCCTCCCTCCCTCCGCTCTACCGCTGGCTGATATAGGCTAGCAAAACAGCTATGCTTGCAGTTTTGCCAACACAAGGAATATACCAGCAGAAAACATTACTGCCCATTCCAAATGCATTACAGCCAGCAAAGCTTTCAGTTTAGATTGCAATCTTATTTTGTACTCTGCTGCAGCAAAACCAACAGACAGTCTTGTGGCACCTTAACGACCAACATGTTTCATTTGGCATAAGCACAAGCCCCTTCTTCAGATGCAAATTCAAAGGCACTAATCATACAGAACCTGAACTGCAGAAAAAATATTAGAAAGTGTTGTATATAATACTAGAAATTACCATAAAATGCAACTTGTTCTGACATGCTTTAAATATGGCATTCCAGGCCCATTCATGCTGAGGAGTAGATCCAAAGGTTTAGTTCCATGAGCAGAAAGAGTTTTTCTACAAAAGGGAACTCTGGCATGGAATGTCACCCTTGGATCCTGGCCCTGAATTAATAACCCCATTGTTGTTACAGAGAATTAACAACAACACTGCTGAAGCAATATTCTTAGGTTGTTGTTCACCTATTTTCCTTAATTCCATGGAGGAGTCAAACTGCTGCCCTGCAACTATCAAGAAGACTGCAAGGTTAATTCCAGAATAGAGAGTTGATTGGAGCTCAAAACCTTTACGGTACCTGCAGAGACAAGATTTTAATAAAATAGAGAACACATTTCAAAGATAAAGTATGTCAAGTTCTCAGTTCCAAATTAAAAAAATACGCTCACAGCCCATACTATTGAATCTGAATTGGTCTGTTTGTTTGCTTGGTTTCTTGGAAAGGCAGGGAAACAAGACTTTAATCAGTGAACATATAGTACTGAAGAGCAGCTATTATCATTTTTAAAGCCTGTAAATCTGTATAATACTGTTTGAAAGTGTGTGTCCAAAGATAGATCATGAAATATCAAAACAACATTTGTGATCAGTAGGAGCTTCCTTTCACCTATTTTTAGCTTTTTACTTCATTTTTTTATTTCAAGTGAAATACAAATAATGCTTCCATAACGGATGCTCACAACAGAAAGATTCCATGTAAAAGTACCACTATCTTAAACATACTTTATCCTGGTAACAAAGCTCAATAGACTCAGCCAATATCTGAGTCAACATTCAGAGTTGTGGGACTAGGATTGGAGACACCTAGGACTGGATAGCTCAGTGATCTGGACATGTGGCTGTGGAGCCAGAGGTTGGGAGTTCAATTCCCCACTGGGCCTCCTTGACAATGGCCAGACTCGATGATCCAGAGGGCCCCTTCCAGCTCTGCAGTTCTAGGATTATTATTTTATTATTAAGTCTGGTGGACTAGACCATGAAAGCCTTGAGGGACAACAGGGCAGTTACTTTCTCCCAGCCTGACCTACATCACAGGGCTGCTGTGAGGTCAAAGTGAGGAGGAGAGCCATATTCAGCTTTTTGGAAAGCTGAGTATAAAAGTATAAGAAATGAAAGTAATGCATAACTAATACATAAATAATAAAGTTTGGCAGATATCTGTGGCTTCTTTTTATCTCTTTTTATGAGGTGTTCTGCTTCCGTCCAACAGGAGAACTGGTTGGCAAACAACTTGGAACTTAAATCTGGAACACTTTGCCTTTTTGCAGTTAGATGGAAACCACTGCTTTTCTCACCATTCAATGGCTCTGTCTCGGCTACTTGTGTCTTTACAGTCTGAATCAAGGAATATATCTTTGTAGATCCTCCCACACAGGCAGAACATGTCTGGCGCTGGATGATCACATGTTTGCAGGACCTGCAGCATCACTTGTAGGGCTTTCCCCCGATCACCTGTATTGTTCCGTCTGGAATTCAAGTGGAAAAGGATGATCATAAGCTTGGACAAAGAACCATATCTTTCCAGTGTAATAATAATTATTATATGCCACCAAGTCAATTTTGACTTGTTGGGATCCACTTTTTTCTAGTTTTATAGTTCAGTAGTAGCTTATTATTCCCTTCTTCTGGAGTTGCCCACGCCACACAAGCTGACTTTTCTTCTATACAGGACAAAGTGGGGAATTATTCCTAGCTCCAGGTGCTCCAACCCACTGAACTATTCAGCAAGTTATCCATCACACCTAACATTTATGTTAATATTCAGTAGGCATACATATGAATTATGTTAAACTTGCTAACTATACATACATTAATAAATAGCTACATAGAAATTGATACTGTATCTGTTTCCTAGCAGAATTCTACAGAATCTGATGCATATTGCATACAAAATCTCTGTCATTTTGGAGAACATATAATTAGGAAGTCACCACAAAGCAAAATTATTCATACATATATAGTTGTACATGATTTGTCTCACATTACCTTGAAAGCTAGATTGTTTATTAAGAAGCCTTTGAAGTTTGGTAAGCATTTCCCAGAAGCAAATATACAACTTGAATTGCAATGAAATATATTTATTCACAGAAAAACAATTAGCAAAACTGCAATCTTTTAGCAAATGTTCTATAGCAGACCATTTTTCATGGAAAGATTTGTGCAAAGATGTTTTAGTAAAATCTATAACCAATTGCAATGGAGGCTGTCTCATTCACCTAAAACCTAGATTTTACTGTCTTCTACGATTTGGGGAATTATGTAGATTTTGATCAACATGAGAGATTATATCTGCACTAACCATGAACAATGGCAACATAGACCCCTACACTAAAGATGGCAATATATTTTAAATTTTGATTAACTATATTACTTCAGAATCCCTAACTGAACCAAAGTAAAGGCAACTGAAGGCTAAATAAATGCAAAAACCACTCTTGTTATTTACAACAAATCAGTCAAACCAGAAAATCAAACACTGCTTTGCCGCTTAAAAGCTATTTCAAAACATCCTGCTAATCTTCAATGCAGTTAAAACTAGTTAGCAGATTTTATTCATTCATTCATTCATTCATTCATTCATTCATTCATTTAGATTTTATTTGTTTGTTTGTTTATTTGTTTGTTTGTTTGTTTGTTTGTTTGATTGATTGATTTCTATCCCGCCCATCTAAACCAAAGGTCTACTCTGGGCGGTTTGCTGATGAACTCCTGATACCAAGGTATCCAGTTAAGAGCCTCGTGGCACAGTGGTTAAACTGCTGTACTGCAGCCAAAACTGTGCTCACCACCTGGGGTTCAATCCTAGGTAGCGGCTCAAGGTTGACTCAGCCTTCTATCCTTCCGAGGTCGGTAAAATGAGTACCCAGCTCGCTGGGGGGGAGGCAATGTGTAATCTGCATAATTAAACTGTAAACCGCCCAGACAGTGCTTGAAGGGCTTTGGGGCAGTATATAAGCAGCACGCTTTGCTTGCTTTTGCTTTGCTTTAAGATGTTTGTATATTAAAACAGGTGTACAAAGGACGTAACAATAGTCAGTAACAAGAAAACATTTCTGATAGTTTTCCACTATCCCTACAAAGAGGAAGTTAAAAACTAACAGAAGAATAACTACTGCATAACGGTGTAAAACATTTTCCTATGCATATTAAGGTGCAAAAGTAATTGCCCTGAAGAGGTGCAACTACTGTATATAGACCACAAGCATTATTCAGATGTCTGGTAACTGCATATAACATTTAATTATTTATATGGAATTCACCATGCCCTACATCAGGATATCTACTAATGGAATGACTACTGTGTACATATCATTGGATCAATATTAAACTCTAATATTCAATAATGTAATTGCATACACTTTATGGAGTTTCTTGGAGTTAAAGGAATTAGGGCTTTTTGAAAATGCAATCAACAGTTAACACATTTGTTGCTTGAGGTACAAGCACAATATATATATTCTGTGTACCTCACAGTGCAAGCCAAAAAACTCTAAACAAAAATACAAAAGTAAGTTCTGCAAGATATTGCTAATAATTGTGTGTTGTCAAGTCAGTTCTGACTTACGGTGATCCTTTTCAGGGTTTTCTAGGTAGAGAGTACTCAGAAGTGGTTCATTCTGGGGTCACCCTAGGACTGTGCCGCTTGCCCAAGGCCAAAAGGCTGGCTCTACCCATGAGAGGCACAGTGAGGATCTAACTCCCAACCTCTAGCTCTGCAGCCAAACACTTAAGCTACTGAGCTATCCAACCACCTAGTTCTATATATTTTTCATGCAATGTTAATTCATGAAATATAACCATATTATTTATGAATTTCTTATCTTATGCTTCAGTTGAAATATTTAAAAACAATCAGTGAAAAGTTAATTTTGATAACTAAGCAGATCAAGTAGTACCTCAGAAGGTAAATTGACACACACTATTGTGTTAAGTGATGTCAAGTCAGAACCAACTTATAGAAACCCTAACAAGAGTTTCAAAGTAAGTGAGATGTTTAAGGAGTAGTTCTATGGTGCCACTCTCCCCAGTGAGTTTTCATTGCTTGAGTTGGGATTTGAACACAGATCTTGTGAGTCCTAGTCCATCATTACCCCATATTGGATAATCTAATATACCAAATAAGAAAAAGTCTGTTATTGTGGATCAGAACAAAGAAAGGAACAATAAATTTAGATCCAGTCAAAACTGTATCCAGGTCCTTGGGCCATATCCTTGTTAATGAACTCTATTTAGCAGATACCTAATAACTGTTCTTTCTTGTAGTGTACTAAAAGTAATTCCAGACAAATCATGATCATGCTTGAGCCAGTTTGATCCTGGTTCACAATTGTGTTTCTACACACTACACCTAAACCAGTTTCTTGGTGAAGAAGGGATGGTAAACTGGTTTAACAAGCCAGGAAGCCTTCTATGAACGCAGTCATGTGGAAAGAGGAGTGCATTCAGCTTTGTTGCTTTCTTACCCAACAGCTGATAGTCTGTTGGACGGCGAATGTGAAATGTAACTGGTCAATATTCTTTTTAGATGTTATAAATATTGCACTTCAAACCGTATGTTGTAAACATCTGCATACTCCATGTTCTCAAAGTGCAAGCTTCACTTCACACAACAAAGTGCAGGATTTACAAGGGAAGAGTGCTCATCCTTCTTAATTTTTCCTCTCCCTTGGGGCTGTTTCTTCCTTGGGAAAGACACACACTGCCAACAGACAATACTCTGTGCACTACAATGATAACCTGAAGCATTACAGGTATACTATTTGGTATTAACTTGATTTACAATTTTCCCCTGAATAAATTGCTGAAATAGATATTCTTATTTGCCTTTTCATTTGGACCCCAATAATATCTGCACTACCAGCCTCAAATCAACAAAATGGTTTGCCTTTGCTATGTCTTCCTTTTATATCTTAACACTCAGATAGGCTTGCAGTGGTACAGAAATAAAGAGGCAATGAGGGTGATTAAAAGGGCAAAATATTATTAAAAGGACATGGCAGAAAACATTAAACATTAAAGCCAATATGGAAAGGTGTTTGGCTATAACTACTTTATTGCAAAATGAAGGAGACTAGCACAGATGTGACATGAGCTGTCACTCTGTGATTTTAAATATATGTATATATTTTTGTCACTATAGCCTGTATTGTCTTATTACTCAACACTTTTTGTTCCTAGAAATGTTTAGCAGCTGAAAGTCTCCCCATGGTGTTGAGTTAAAGCTTGCATGTTGATAGTCCTGGCAAGTGGCTCTGGTTATCTTTTCATCAAGCTAATCTCTGGACAATATTTAGTTTATGACTTCAGCTTTGAAACAGCTGTCACCAACAGTTTACTATGCAAGTTATCATTTATAAACATGACCTCAGTTTTAGATTGCACAGTAATGAAAATACAGAACAGCTGAGCCTACAGGTAGTAGGACAAAACCATTCAAAGTAATCAGTATTTAAAATAAGAACACACGCTATTTGCTGAGACTGAGGTCAAGGGAAAACTAAACATAGACAACACTTAGAATGACTATTGTTAATACTAGCCATTCACAACATTGAATCCCCTTAAAAGCTTAAAGTTTAATGACTATAAAGATCACAATTACTCACTTTCCCTGATTATTTATTATGACTGTCTCAAGGAGTGGAATAAAACTTATCAGAGGCCAGTTCTCTGAGGAAACTGCTGAAATGTCCCTTTGTAGTGCCCACAAAGAAGAACGCTGAGGAGGTCCGGTGTGGGAAGCAGAAACATTCCTCTCTGTGCCCAGTGCTTAAAATATTGTAAATGCTAATGCTTAAGATGATTAGTAAATGTTCATTAGGAAGATGCTTTCTGAGCACGGCCCGAAAAGGTACAGAAGGGCTAGGGGAACTTTGGCCATTGCTGAGCTTCAGACGAGACCACACTCTGGAGAGGGGCTGTGCAACAGCTGGTTTCTTTTTCCTCCATTGATTTGTTCAGTTATCACCACATCACCAAGCTGCCACCTGCCAGGGGCTTCTGACAGGCAGAAGGGACAGAGAGGTTTCTCTTTATTTTACTGTTTTACTGCTTATGCTTTTTTTGTTTTGTTTTACTGTCTCTTCTCTTTAGTGAAGTTTTGTGTCTTTTCCTTCACTGATGTTTTGAATTGTTACAAGATTCCAAAAGAACCTCTGTTCACCTTGACAAAACACTCATTCAATAGAAACAGAAAACTGCTTGACCGATTTTTCTATGAATGGTTGACACCTTTCACGTGGAATGTCATTTCCCACTGCTACAATGAACAATGCTGGGATTGGGTGATGGCAACAGTTTGTGCTGTTTTGGGGACTTGCAGATGCAGGAAACATAATCCTTGGGGGAAAAGCAATGCAGATACCACTTATAATGACCAACACATCTGGAGGGCACCGGGTTGGAGACAATATTTGGGGTATTGGGGCCACTTCCCACAGCTTTCTTTCTCTTCTCCCTTACACATTGGTTATGTGTGAAGCACCTTGCTTCATCAAACAAGAAGATGGGATTAAATCCTCTGCATTCCACTGCATGTGAGCATTGGAATTATAAAGGGAAAATTACATTGTCCCAGAATGAAGATGACAAATGTCACTGGTATTATTCTCTGCTCTCTGCTCAATTGTGGTCTAAGCTCCACTAAATATCAGGCTCTCTGTGCTATGAGTCCCACACATCACTCTTCTCAACAGCTTTATGCTTCACCATCACAAATAAATCCATAATAAATAAATTAATAATCATGTAAGAATCCAAATTAAAACCTAAATAGGCATGAGTTACAACCACAAGTAAACTTTGCCTCATCTCTTCATTCAGCTACCCTCGTTTCTCAAATGAGCTGTTGCTACTACGATTGTTTTAAAAATAAGCATGGTTTTATTTATTCATACAGGAATTTTAGGCTGCTTTTTCTGCCTCAGATCAGGTCCACAAAATAAGTCACAAAAGAAAGATACAAGAGAATTAGGTAACATAATGCTAGAAGCATTCCAAAACAGAAACAATGTAGACCTTTCCATTTCTTACTTTTTGCTCCTATAAAATACCTGTTACACTTTTAAGAGACAAGTAATCAATTTCAATTGCACTGAAGAGACACAGAAGGCAAGGAATATATATTCTTGAATGAACTAGGAATATACAGTACTACAGTGTAAAATTCTGCCTATCTCCTACTAATGAACATCATTATTCTACAAAAAAATCTGTTTTTCATAACTATTGCTCAATAACACAGAATCGCCATACTAGATGAAATCAGTGGTTGTTTTACTGCAACATATTGAGTAAGAAAGCACTTGGGGCTTGAGCCTGTTTGTCTGCATAAGCAATCCATTATTCAGGAACTGTCTTTGAAATGATATGGGATATACAGTTATAAAGTTTCCAAGCTACAGCAGGACAATACATCACAGGCAAGGTTTCCTCTGTGCAGGGCTCCTTCTCCTCCACACACCTACAGCAATTGTTTTCAGCCCCTTTAGTACCAGTCCTGATGTAATCCTGCAGTGGGGTGGAGGTGTGCGTGAGGGGCAGGGCCCTGCCCAGTGGAGCTGAAAATGTTGAGCAAATGTTGAGCACGGCCCTGCCCAGTGGAGCTGAAAATTAGAGAAAATGTTGAGCACATGTATATACAAATATGTGCAAACATCTCTCTTCTCAATTCCATTTAATCATCCCTCTATCTCAGTGTTTGGGATTACAGAGCTTAAACCTCTGCACTTTGCATGTTTAGAACACACCGCAAACCTTCCCACTTCTGGGGAGGTCCCCATAACAGTTCATGAGTGTGTCTGACTGGTGCACTTCTCAATTGTATTCAGTAGCAGACAGGAAACAGCATGAGGGAAAACACACAATGGAACTGTAGCAATCCCTTGATGTTTGGAAACGCACTTCACCAGGAAGCCTCTTGTCCTTCCTGTGACAAGCAAAGACTTTCTTTTTAGGCAGGTTTTAAATTGATCTGGGCAAGTGGGATTTTTAAGAATTCTGAATGCAAGGATGTGCTTTTTAAAAGTTTTGTTTTGCTTGATCTGGGCAAGTGGGATTTTTAAGAATGCTGAATGCAAAAAGTTTTGTTTTGTCATGGTTGTTAATATTGTTAGATGGTTAATTGCTTTTAATTTTATTTCTTACAGGGTTCATTGTGATATCATGCAGACTGACCTGCTGCTATTTTGATAAAGTGGTATGAATTCTGCCCTCATTTTGATGTCAAACTAAAACATAACTTTTTATCAAAGTTTTTTGATAACCAATGCTCAAGATCTGATTACTTTGTGGAATTTCATTATTGTATGTTTTTAAATTGCTTGTTGTTTATTGTATGTAACCTTCTCCAAAATCTCCTTAATACAGGGTAGAAATTCGATATTTACAAACATATGTATGTACACAAACAAACAAACATATGTAGCCCAGTATTAATGTATATTTTTCTGCTGCTCAGCAAAGAAAACAGATTGCCTCTCATTCATGAGTTTTGAGCAAATTATACTGTTTCTGCTCTACACAGTTGTTTGGTGTGGCCATTTTGAAGAATCCCTGTTGGCTGAGGTGCTCAAAATTCTCTGCTGGTGCTATAATTCACTTGGCCTAAAAAGGTCTTACACTATGTCAGTAATGGGCAAAATGCAACCTCCTGACATTGGATCACATTCCACTCTATTGGCTATGCTAGCAAGAGTCAATGGGATGGCAATCTTATGGTCCACAGCTTGTCCATCCTTGATTTAGATGCAAAGGAAATGGGTTTGATAAAGAGATTAGAATCTGCTTCATATAATAAATATATCATTCTGTGCTTGCAGTCAGAACTTTAAATTGTAGATGCCTTTGCAATGATAAATAATTCTCTATCTCTGTTTACCATAAATGCACACACACAAGGGTTTCATCTTACCGATTCAGGGCAAATGCATAGTGAAATTTGATATTGTGCTGATCTGCCAAATCACATGTAGGGAGCATTTCCAGTGTCTCCACCAGCTTCACCATAGCATCATAGTCCTAGTGACCAAAAACAAACAAACAAAACACTACCAAGCAAAATTCAGCCCAAAAATGATTTTTACCTTCCTACTTCATTAAAAGTAACCATAACAATCACTCTCAAGACTGGCATATATTAAGGCAGTGCACAAAAGTATTTTCAATGGAAATGCTAAAAGTGCCTATTTGTAGGCAGAAAAATGAAGGGGACCTTTCAGTTATTTTTTTCCATAAAAAGAACTAATTCTGCAACAGTTTCTCAGAAATGGGGACAACCATTATCAATGTTTATAGCACAGCTTTGTTCTCCTCAAACCCCCTCCCCCACAAGGTTTTTTGGATAGTCATTGCAGTCATCAACAATAGCTAATGTTTTGGCACCCTATTCACCGTTGTCTTTCCCCAAGAGTTCACCTAGTGAAGACAAAAATGTCTTCTGAGAAACTCTGGCTGAGCCCTTATCATTATTCTTCATGGCTCCGCATCTACAAGAGGTTGTCCCAAATGTTAAATTTTGAAGAGTCCCTAGATATACTTTTTCTCTCCACTGAAGATGTTTTATAATTCAGCTCTTTCCCTCTAAAGCCCTTTTGCACTTACAAAACATGGCAGCATTGTGTCCAGCTCTGGAGAAATGGTGAAACTACTGTTAAACTACAATATGTTCTCAATTTCTCAGATGTTTTCCTTTCCCCAAGAAAGAGGCTTTCACTTCTCTGTCTCATTCTGAGGACCATTTAGAATTACTTTTGGTGGTATTTTTAGCTTAGTGGAGTGCAGAAAGATGGCAAAGCATACTGAATTTGGGTTTTTTTTCCACCCTTTCTATTACACATCTCTTAATCAGTTGCAGCTTCCTACATTTCTTGTTATTTAAAAAAAAAGCCATGTGGCAAGAGACAGCTTGCTTGTGCATTCATTCATTCACCTCATAACATTTTCTCCTTGGCTTTAACTAAACTGTGGGGAGCTAGGATGGAATAAGGGGTTTTCAACTGCCTCAGAGATGGTTGTGCACTTAAACCCAAAATGTACCCATACATTTCTTGGCCACCTCATAAGATAAGTACAAGGATCCTCTGCCTCATCCATGACAACTTCTTCAAAATGTGTCCTTTTTCTAAATTCTTTGTGCATGGAATTTCTTCTCTAGTAAACTAAATTAGAATGGCCAGAATTCTATAGCAGACATTCTTGACGCAGCATTGGTATAAAAAGCCTTTCTCTTGGACAGTTTTTTCATCTCAGAACAAGACTTGCTGGGAAAATACACTGCAAAAAATACCTACAAAGAATGAACACAACCCTGTTGGGAGCAGGAATTAAAAACCAACGTAATCTTGCACGGGACCTGTCCTTACCTGTGTTAGCCACTCCTGTCAATCTATTGTTGAAGGGCACAGTAAAACTTTAAAAGCAACCTTACATATAATCTCTTGGATTATGTATAATTATAAGCAGAAGGACTTTAAATAAAAGAAACATATCCAATAAAAGACTGCAGAGCCAGATAACAAGCAATTATACAATTCATTTTCTCAACCTGTAACGATTAAGATTGTAGGGGGGAAACTGGTAGCAAATTACTGTAAATAAGGCCTTGGTTCTGAACTTAAAATTGTCACAGCCAAAACTCTTAACAGAATAACATTGGGAACAGACTATTTTGGATGTTACAGTAAAAGTAACATACCTGGATATCACGATATGACAGAAGTAAATTGATTACAATGTCAGAAGTTAGGACTTCAGTATTATCCATACGAAGTTTAATCCTGGTCAGTTCCTTTGCCAATTCTTCTCCTTGGTATTTCTCTCTAGCTTTTCTAATGTCATTTAACAAAGTCTCCTTAAAATATGTACTGAGGAATGAAGGACAGATGGAAAACAAGTGTTATGTAATTTCCCCCCCGGTAGAACTAATTAAATACACCCATCAAAATATTAAACATTTATATTATATAACATTATCTAATTAATAAATGGAGTGGAAGACAAGTTCAGAATGTTCCTAGACATCCTGACCTGACTTCCACTTCCTGTACAGAGTCCTGGTCATTAGCAGGGCGCCTCAGCATCACAAGTATATGCAAGAAAATCATTTTTTATACATTTCACAGAGTGCATGGATGTAGGGGATTGGCTAATGATTATAATCTCATCCCCATTTTTTATCTTTCATGCATGTATGTGTAGCGGATAGCCCAAACACCACCTGTCCGTCACTGCGGAACCTTGATGGGACAGCCAATAGAGAGACCAGAAGGCGGGGCCAGAGAGGAGTTTGATAGGTCGGGAAGAAGAAGAGAGGGAGGGCTGGACTGAGGGTTAGAGAACTAGAGGCTTGGGAACTGGACCAGGAGGGTCAGAGATAGATAGGGAGAGTTAAAAGAGTGATTTGAATGAACCAGACCTTGTTTAAGATATGTGATAAGTTTCCTGTGATTTATACTGCAATTCCCAACTGAATATTAACCCCACCCTGTTCAATAAACCGATTGTGTTTGGCAGCATAAGTGTCCAGTACTTAACTGATGTTAAAAAAATAACATCTGGTGTCAGCGTGAAGAGGAGAAAGGAGTGTGAGCCTTTGTGAGGAAGAAATAAAACAGGGGCCACAAGGGCGAGCACCACAGTATGATATAGGAGGCACAGAGAGAATGTACATCTTGCTGAATTAGTAAAGGGTCAGATCCAGCTGAAATTATTTCAATCAGCATTCATCTACCTCTACATTTATTTACATACAACTAAAGTTCCTATGCATGTTGATTTTTAAAAACATTGGTGCAGCTACGGCTGGATCATCTCTGCAGCTAAGATCCACTTCTTGCAAATTACTGTGCAGAGAACAGGGAGTGAGAGAAACAGGGCCACTGTCAGCCCATGAGGTGGCATGGATATGTCAGAGCTGACACTGCTCAATGCAGAATCCATTCCTTTTCCCATCTTCTTCTTCCCCCTTTAATCAAAACTTCAAAAACATATTACTATTCCCGGCAACACAATGTTTCTTATTCCCAAGTGAAGGTTGTCAACTGAAAGCAGCATAAGCAATGCCCATTTTATTCCTTCTGTCTATAAGTTATGATTAGTTGTTGTTACGTGCTATCAAGTCAGATCTGACTTAGAGCAACCCTAATAGGGCTTTCAATTTAAATGAGATATTTAAGGAGTGTTTTAACTACTTCCTCTATCCCAGTCAGTTTTCATGGCCAAGTGGGGATTCAAATCCTGGTCTCTAGAGTCTTACAAACTGGGTATGATTAGAAGAGGTTTAAAATGAAAAAATGCACATGCTCAGAGTATTTCTTATCTCAGTCTATCAATCAACCAACTGACCAGGCTTGGCAAACACTTGAACATCTGAAGACCCTTCAGTCTGTTGGCCATGAAATGGTAGTGTGTTGAGCAACATAGTAATTGAGGGCTTCATTTATTGTCTAACTCATGTTTCATCAATCTTGGGTCTAAAATTTCATCACTGACAAAAGCATTTTAAAAGATGTGAACAAAGCTCATTAAAATTGAAAAGCAGGGTATAAACCAGAGTTGGGGACCTCAGGGCCAAATCCAGTCCCTAGACAGGCACGGTTTCTTCCCTATTACATTATCATTTGACTTTCCAGCTTTCACACATTTCACTCTTATTTTAAAAGGTTAACATACCTCTCTTAAGACTTAGTTACTAGCAGAAAAAGCTTTAAATTCAAATTTGCCAGTATTTTTGACCCATCCTTCCACATTTACCCAGATTCCTTTTCTTGAAGTAACGAAGTAACGACCAGCTTCAAAAGAGTGGTAATTGGCAACCAAGTCCCATGTTACTTAAGCTTACTTTTGTGATAAATTAATCAGAATTAACTTGTTTCTTTAGTTTCAATAAGAAAACAGAACAGATTAAGTAAGTGATCTAGAATCAACTGGAAATCACCTGTTTCAACAGTGTGAATTAAGCTTATCTTGAATTTCATGAGTTTCTATCTGAGTTATCTTTGGGTTTCAGCTAAACTAGCCAGAATGTTCTAAAAGAAGTACATCACACATTTTAAGAGGAAGAAAGTACATTAAAAAGTGCATGAGCTTAAAAGTGTTATATAACCACAATTTGCCATCATCAGCCAAATTATAACTTGTAATTATCTCTTTTTTATTTGGCATTCATTTTCTGTTTCCTCAATTAGTAAGCAGACAAGCATTTCTCCACCAGCAAACTAAGCTTGGCAAAGTTAACTGTTTAGATCACAACTCCCACCAGCCAGTTGTAGTCCCAAAAAGTAAGTTCTCCAAGCTCTGCAAACATGTACTGCAACCAGCAATGAGGTTATTGCATTACTGAAAAAAAGAGAAGTGCCAAGACTGTTATTGGTGTTAAAATACAGTTCACTTCTGCAGGGTAAAGTTACAGCTTTACAAGTATAACACAGATGAGCCACATGGAAAAATACTGGTCTGAAGGCATCTTATTTCAACCACAGCCTTTGAAATTTATGTTAAGCTTATTTATATCCCGATCTTCTCCCAATGCCTCATTTGAAAGCTCTGATGCTACTCACTGATACCTTGAAAAATAACCATAATTCACTAGGATGACTTTACCAAAACAGCTACCTGAGACACAGCTTGTGTGAAATTAAGACCGGTTTCAGCGCATTAGACTACTAGAGATCCTGGCGCTTCTTTAAACACACATACATCCTCCCCCCTTTAGCTAAGAAGAGGAAAGGGAACAAAATTTTTTTACCATGAGGTAACATGGATGTCCTTGAGGAGGTTGATAAACCTGTCCACCAATGGAAGACAGAGGGGACCCAGGATGTTGTCACAGTTTGGTTGTATGTACTCTGAGGCTCTCCGCTGGGCATCACTTTCACAGCAAAAATATTCAGCACAGGGTGTTACAATGTAAGGAATGAAGTAGTAGTTGCCACTTGAAGCCTAACGAAGACAAGGCATCAAAATATTAGAACAAAGTGACAATTATGTTTATGCACAGCCTCAGTTTGAAACTTTAAAGAGACATGGAGAAAACACCAACAGGCAATAGAACATTGCAGAAACACTTGCATGCTTCCACATTCAAACCACTCAATTTGAAATCTAAGCACTCTGTCTTCAGCTGCCAACAGGAAGCAATGAAAAGCTTTGAATCTGTCATGAATATATACATTATATAATATTATATATATATTAATAATCAGAACCCAAGTATTCCTGCTGTGAATCTTCACAGTTCCAAATGTCCAGAGTTTCCAGGGGATTAATGTGGTAACCAATGGAAGGTTCAGCCAGAGAAGTACAATGCAGCAGTGGGACACCACTGCTGGGAGAGTGGCAAGCAACTCAAAAAGGACACATATGCTTATTGGCAGGTGTTTATATGTATTTAAATGAGCTAAAAACTCATAATAGTGGTGTTGATGCAACATTGCTTCGTTGAAATTCTATACAACTGATCCTTGCACTAATGACTTAAGTGGATAATGATCTGTCATAAGTAAAAAAACAATTTTACCATTAAAGTTGATATTAACACATTGGGATGGTTCCTGGACCATTCTCAAAGTCTCAGTTCTGCCCTCTTTTTGAACCACTCGGCTGTCATCCCTTCCATCTTCTGCTTTTGCATAACGGTCATGACACTCAGCAGAGCTAGCACAGAATTCTGATTCCCTCTACCACCTTTAGAATAGAACACACTCAGCAGTGTCTTGCTTGTTGCATCTCACATCCGTTGTTGTGAGGCCTTGAGGTCATAAAACTGAATTTTGTATTGCTAGTGGGGGGCAACTTGGGAGTCAATCGTATGACATAAACAGAGAATGCATGACCCGTCTGATGGGGTTAGATTGTAACAACTAACATCCCTCCCTTTTGGCTATGGCTACTAGAGTTGATGCTGGTTGACATGCAAAAATAATAATAATTAAAAAAAAAACCTGGTGGGGCATAGGTTTCCCATCTCTGCTATATGGACTTACCTGGGGCTAAGTAATATTGACTTGCTCCTGCACAAGCAGCCATATGACTGCACTGGTTATCCATCATTAACGAAGAAAAAGCAGATTGTAGGACTGTGCTCTCCCTCCTCCCCAACAACTTCTATTTCTTTCTTCCCTCTGCACAACTTCCTCCCTTGTTGGTCTTAACCACTGCCTAGTTTCACATAACCATTAATACTAATCTCTTGTTAGCCAGGATGTTAAACCAGGTTTTGAAGCTAAATTAGGAAACCCAAGTTAAAAGACAAACCTAAGGAAAAGCTAAGAGGAGTTAACGGTGACAGTAGAACGCTGGTTACGTTTGGCTCCTGCTTTGCAGGAAGTCGAACAATTCTGGAAAAGGTAGGATTGTAGGAAAGACCACCCACTCCTGAGGACACTATTCTCAGATGACAATCTTTTCATCTCCCTGGAATTTAGGTGGAGAAGGTAAAAGAAATTAGCAAGTGGGTATCACTTAGTTTCACTATTTTTAATTTTTAAAAAATTATGTGTGTGCGTGCGTGTGTGTGTGTGTGAGAGAGAGAGTGTGTGTTCCTATCCTAAGGGATGCAAAAAACAATTCTCATGTAACCAAATGGTAAAATTTTCTCTGCTATTCTATCATCCTTCACCATTACCTAAGACAGATATTCTTGATGGGAAATGGAGCCCATTTCTATATTCCTGAACTAATACTAAAAATAAGACTCCTTCTTCCATCTACCATTCTCATATAAAGAACTATGCTTGTAAGGAAGACATGCATATTTAGAATGCTACAAACACCTCAGGAAGAACAACTGTATACTTTACGTTAACCTTCATGTTCTAACACCATATTAATTTTTTGTAATCAAACTTTAAATGGGATTTCACACTAATGACATCATGTCATCAAGTGGGAAAGACAGTTCTCACAGTGAGAAGAGTTACTTCCTAAACCTCTTCCAAATGTTTTCCATAAGAAGAAGCATGTGTGATGGCATATTTAACATAATCCAGGTTTTAAATGTTCAGTTTGAAACCCTTAGTTCAAAACATTATAGCTTTATAAGAGCCATGCCTTGTACGAGGGTACCCACATTAATTTTTCCAGGTGGAGGGACAAAGTTACCCAGTGGTATATTAACACAACTTGTGGTCACAGCACATGTCACTGCAGCACATCTGCAGTTTCTTTGTCTCTGCAGATACTTTGATCCTTAGTATCACATTCAGTGATGACTCAAACTGGTGGTTTTGCAGCGACATAACTGTAAAAGTTGCAGTTGCAAATTGGCACTAATTAATGAGATGTCAGTCATATTGCTGGTGGCATGCCCATTGCACAACGAGGAATGCAACCAGTGCCTTGTGAATCAGGTACAAAACAACTTAAAGTCAAGCCCTTTAACATGGCATAGCATCTGTTTTCTCCTGCTTCTCACTTGATTACTCTTCTCCAGGATGTAAAAGACATACTTGTGTTTTGAACTATACCAAATCAAGAAAAAAGAACATGTGAAAAGATAGGGAAGCTTATCTTTGTTTGGAGAGGTAAAGAGAAAGGGAAAGGTTCCCCTTGGCAATTTGTCTAGTCGTGTTCGACTCTAGGGGGCGGTGCTCATCTCCGTTTCCAACCCATAGATCTAGTGTTTGTCCGAAGACAATATTCCATGGTCACGTGGCCAGCACAACTAGACACAGAACGCCGTTACCTTCCCACCGTGGTGGTACCTATTTATCTACTCACATTTTGCATGCTTCTGCTTTTACATAACAATGATGACAATAAAAATGAAGGAAATATAATGCTTGTTCATAAGTGACTTGACAACATTTAATGAAGTAAAATTAATATTCAACAAATCTTGACCTCTATCTTGCACACCACACATCTCCCTAACTTACCCCCCGAAAACGATACTTTCGTTCTTTGCTTATCTCTTTGCAAGAGAAAAATACAAGACTTGTCTGTTTGCTTTATTATTACAGTGGGGTCTTGACTTAAGAACGGCTTGAGTTAAGAACATTTTGACTTAAGAACCACTCTCATAATGAAGGAAATATAATGCTTGTTCATAAGTGACTTGACAACATTTAATGAAGTAAAATTAATATTCAACAAATCTTGACCTCTATCTTGCACACCACACATCTCCCTAACTTACCCCCCGAAAACGATACTTTCGTTCTTTGCTTATCTCATTGCAAGAGAAGAATACAAAACTTGTCTGTTTGCTTTACTATTATCTTGATGGCTTTTCCCTATTTTCAAATTATACCCTTTTGTCTGATCTTCATCAGCTGGCAACTGAGAGATGCTAGGTTTCTCAATAGTTTCTATCTAATTTTTTCACAAAAATGAAAATCTTTAAAACTAAAATTCATTTAGTAAACTTGTTATTATCATCTTACTATATTTTAAAGTTTAAAATACCCTACACAAACAATTTTCTGGGTAAATTCAGTTACACAGGAGAATTGGGTAAACAAACAGGAGTCAAAAATAATACACTTCAGCACAGAATGCACATGATACAACTACAATCTTGTGCCAAGGACCAAATGCATGAAGGGGGTGCTTTTATAGAAGCAGTTCCTGTGTGATAACCTTATTTTATTTTGGTACAATAACTGTTGTACGGTTCCCCTTTTGTGAACTGTGTCATCCGTTTCCAGCTTCCAGTTGCGAACATCTTCCAAGAAACTCAGAGACAAGATTAAGATAGAAAAAATGCAGATACACAGGATCAGGTGTACTTAGTAAGCACATCCATTGCCTATTGCTTTCAAACTGCAGTGAGGGTTGGTGGTAAGGAAGACTCCTGACTTTCTAAACTAATTGGTAACATTAGGGGAAATATAAGGCTACGGTCTTTGAGTTTTACTGAAGTTCTCAACTCTTCGCCATCTTAACACAGCATTCTCTTTCCCTTCTCTACATCCCCACACCAAATATTGATTCTTAGAACAAAAACATAATTTATTCCCCTCCCCCAAACACAGACACTGGAAAAAGTGCTTTTAAAAACATAAAGGTCAAAGAACAAACACGGTAAGGTAAATGATTTGATGGCTTTTTTCGAGGCAAAACAGTTGACAGTCCTTTTTGCAAGAAATGGAAAAAGCAATTAGCTATCCTTGCTCTGATGCTCCTGCTCCATTGATTCATTCAATCGTTTTACTCTGTTTCTCTTGCAACTATGAAAAAACACAGATGGCTAAAGCTAGCACAACACTGTCTCAGGCTACTACAATTAGTCTTTCTTACTGTCATTATATCATCCATCTTAAACCCCGCTCCCCAAAATGAGGGGACAGGATGGTTTTTTCCCCTCTGAAAAGAAGAGAAAAACTATCAGATTTATGCTATTTCATTTTGTTGTCGCCCTTCATTTATACCTCATTTTTAGAATTACCCAAAGTCATCCAGGTCCATCTAAGTTTTAATATTGACATTAAAAGTGCTGCTTCTTAAGTTATAATTTTGTATATGCAGATTCACATATGTAGGAACTTACTTAAAGAACAAAAATGATGTCTGCATAGATTGAAGTCCATTGATAATAAATTAAGCCACCTTCCATATAGCATGCTTAGGACTGAAACTGTGAAACCAAGGTGGAGAACCGTAAGCCCAGGGGCAAGATTCTGCTCTTTTGGGTTTCCTCCTTCTGTCTGAGATCATAATTGGGTGATCAGCTTTTGTACACTTTTCCCCATCCTGAAATGTTGAAACACCTCTATGAAGACTTAGTGACAATAAGGCCTTAAGCTAAATTTTCTTGGAATTTTTGGCCAAACTCTTCTGTCTTCAACTCCCAACCAACACTGGAAAGCAACTACCAAGAACTTCTCTGATGTTCAATTTGGCCCCAAGGATCAAGGAGGTTCCTCAATCAAGATTTGTTCAAAATACTGACCACTGGAAAATCAAGCATTCTCATAGGCTCAGTTAACCTTCCTATTCATCCCAAAGGAAGGAGTAATTCAGTTTCTGCATGCCTCTACAAACAGAGCTGTCTTGTCTGTTATGATGACAGATACAGTAGCTTGGACAAGAAAGAGGTAGCATCGCCACAGATACCTCTGCTCTTGTAACATCCTATCTGGATTCTGCAGAATCATTTTATAAATAGCTGCATTTGAAGGCTGTTCAGAAATTGCATCTGTTTTAAATACAGTATAGCAGCCATATCCCTGAACCAATACTATGGAATGTTTCCAGTGAGACTTAATATAACCAAACCAGCCATTTTCTCAGTTGAGATGTCATTTTAAAGAACTGAGTGATTTAACGTAAGGACCACTGTTGAAGGAAGGGCCAATTTTGTGTCACTGCTGTCTTGGATCAGACCTGAGAGCCAGGAGACTCAAAACGCCCAACTATTTTATCCTGTTCTTAAGGACCTCTGAACGTACTCTCGGAGGTGTACTCTTTTGTACTGGTATAGTTAAGCTGATTCTGTTAGGTGGATCTAGCTAGTTTGTTTACAGTGGGCTACAAGCTGCTGGCTTGGCAAGTACTTCAACCCTCAACCACAGCCAAAGGCAAATGCCTAGCAACCAAATATAAGACCTTCTGTGTGATGGCACCATGCAATTGTTAAAGCCCTTGCCAAGTTGCTTCACTTGGTGCTGACCTGGCTCTCTTTTGGGCACCAAATAAAAACTTTCGTTTTCCAGACCTTCCATTTTGGGTTTGTATGTTGCACCAGTATGACACTGGTTCTGTTTTAAAATTAACTTTGTACTGCTCTGATTATTTGCAATACCATTGAAATATCCTTCAACCAAAAAGCTGGGTATAAATAAAGTAAATAAGAAGCCTTCCATGCATACCAGAGAGCCACCAGAATTTTGGACTGGCAAAATTATGTATGAAGTTTTAAATCCCTCATGATTACTTTAAAAACAACACCAGCTAGCACAGTCTCCCCCAATTAGATACCCACCAGCTGCAATGGACTACAGTACATCTCTCATAATTCGCAACCAGTATGTTCACCATGCAGGAAGGCTGGGCTGGCTTTTCTCTCTAGTTTCTGTTATCTGTTAATTTATTTAGGATATTTTTCCTCTGCTGTTCAACTGAAAAGGCTCCAGGACTGGCGTAGATGGAAATAAACAATCAGTAAATTCCACTTAATAAGACAATAAACAGTAACAGTAAAGCAGTAAATTACAATAAAAAACAACAGGGGCAACCCATGGGTAAATGACCTGGTGTCACAAAAATGGTGTCTGGTACATCTGTTTAGGAAAAGGATTAATGCAGGTGGGGTGCTACAACTAAAAAGCCTCTGTCTGCAATATCTACCTAACTTTAAGGAATACAAAGAAGGAATTCTAAGCTTGTAGCTGGGCGGGCTCATGTTGGAGAAAGGAGATCCTTCAATAACCATGTTCTAAGCCTACAGTACTGAAGGTGAAGCCTTAAAGGTGTTTCCCACCTCCATCCCCAACTGCAGCAGGCATACAGGAAATCTCTACAATCAAGCTCAAATGAGCACTTTACTGTGCAAACAATTATGTTCAAAACATGAGGGACATGCACGGGAAAAGAAGACTATAAAACTGCAAACAAAGACAAAACATAAGGTAGCTAATTTGGCTAGGATACAGAACACTCTAATGTAAAATTTCTATCCCATGTATTAATATGAAGATACAAATAAAATAGTACAGTAATAGTAACTGCACAGCAAAGGCAAGGCAGGTTTTACTCATTAGAAGTTGCTGCAAAGCATGGATGAGCACCTTTCATTAAAATGACATGCAACGTCATTCCACATTGCCTGGGGAACATGTTCAAGACATAAATTTATTTGCTGTGTAAAGAACCAAGGGATATTTCAACATCAGATGAAAACATGGTTGTTTTCACTTACAATGTACATGCACACAGAGACGTCTATCATATAAACATATCTAAAGTTTACATATGTCATCTCTAAAGTTTACATATGTCAGTATTTAGCATGAAATCAAGAACATGATAAGCAAGAGTCAAATACTCATTAAAGTGAAATATATAGTTCTTTTCATTAGAACATTTTCCCTTAAGGCACCCAGTTCTTTCATAACTCCATGTCACAGCAATCACATTTGGAAATGAAGCATGTATTTTACTTGCTGATGGTCAGTCATAAAACAAAAGCAAGACAATTGGAAATACGCAGATTAAGGCAGGCTCATGTTAGGGTAAAGAGACTTTTTTTTAACCTCTTATGGGAACTCTGCTTCAAACAACTTGCTAACTATAGTGTCCAATTCTGTTTACAGATACTTCCTATGCTGATAGCATGGGAGACAGTGCAGTACTGCTCCTTCCCATACTCTCAGGTAAGATGGGCTATGGTTCTTCCCATGTCCGCAGGTGGGACAATACTGGTATAGGAAGCTACAGCAGTGTAGGCACTCCCATGTGACCCAGGGTTTCTCATGATACTCAGCACTTGTGGGAAGGAGCTCTGCTAAAAAGACTCCCACATTGGTAAGAAGACAGAAATAGAAGCTAGCTAAAGAAACTTGAATAATCTCACAAACAGGAAATTATTTAAAACAAAGCTATTTTGACACAGGCATGCATTTCAAAAACATGCCACGAAAAGAAGCACACAGCCACACCTATAAAACATAAAAGCAGAATAAAATGATGATACATACTTTGCCCATCATACCACCATTATGGTATTCTGGAGGTAGCTGTAGTCGAAGAAAAGCTTTTTGGTTGGCAACTGCAGCCTACTCCAAAAAGTAATGGATCATTACGGAAAAATGAAGATGATAGAAGCAGGCATATTTTAAAGAAGAAACACACAAAACAGGGGGGAAATTATTAAAAGGAGGGAAACTCAAACATGAGTAATAGGTGCAGCAAGTACACACTGGCAATAAAAGTGTTTATAGAATTTGCAGTGAGACTAGCTGACTAAGTAGTTTCTTTTTACAAGATCAGTATGTTCATAAATAAGGCACCTTTAAATTATGTTAAATCAATTGATAATGCCATAATAATTCTATGAAAAATGTACAGGGTGAAGGTAGTCTATTACTATGAAGAAACATCAGTCCACCTTTATACACAAAAATTAGAGCTATTAGCTAAAATCCACGGTTGCAATCTCTGCAATAACCAAAGAATATAAAACCTTGTGTCTGGGGTACTAGGAAGAAAATAAGACACAAAGAAACAAAGAAACCTTCAGATTTGCTTTTCGTAATGAAACATGCCCACCTCCTGACAGCACAGAATATAAAACGTTGGTGCCCCAAAATGAGCTCTTTAGATCCTCTTTGGATTCAATTTTGTGCATTTTTGTAGGTGACAGCATATACCTTAGGAAAAATTCCCATTTTTGCCAATATATGGTGTGTATTGGAAAGATAATTCTTCAAGAGACATGACCTATGCGTAAGATCAAGTTTAAGGTATTTCAGTTCATTGTTCCATTTATTTCTGCCTAAGAAGAAAAGCCCTGAAAGTTGAAAGTTTGACAGCATTAGTGAACCCCTCCCACTGAATCACTTTCTCTGACTCTTCTGAGTTTAAATATACAGACCACAGTCCAAGAGTTTCCACAAGGTGCAATAAATATGTAACAGATTTGTACAATCTCTCACAAAGTTAGGAAATACCACAAGTCCTCCCTCAGCACAGACATTATTGTTTATGGTATGTGTATTAAAATGTTGTACCTTTAAAAATCATGGGAGAATCTGAGGTAGTAACAAGCCACTGCTTTCTTGAACACACTTGTACCTTCAAATAATTACAGTTTTTTGTATTTCCTCAGCACATGCTTTACATGAGATCTGAAAATTCTGAGGCACAAACAAAGGTTGAGGGGGTGAAGGGAGAGGAAAACCTACTGGAGGAAGATTAGATGGTTGGAAGAGTATGGGGCAAATGGTGATTAAGGGATGTTTTAGCTTGGCAAAGCTCTGGGGCTTCCAAGTCTTTCTTCTACAAAAGCATTAAACATGTTATATACTCTATCCAAAAATTTTAAGTTGCTATAGAAAATCTGACAAGTGCACACACACAGGAACTGTATGCAGTCCTACTTAATTTATTCTAAAAGAGCAACCTTTAGACTGTCTTTTCACTTTTAAGACTGTCTTACTCTCTGAACAAACTCACATACTATCGTGTTGGTGTAACCCTATGCCAGTAAAATAACCATACCGTATGTCTGAACTCCAGATTACATACTGTGTGGTGTGCAGTTCATTGTGATTGTGTCATGGCCTAGAAAGACACACAAAATGTCTAGCCAATCAGACACTGTACAAAAAGATTTATCTATTGATGTATAAACAAGATGATAATAGGCAGAGGACAACAAAAGTTCAAATAAACAGTATACTCCATCAGTTTTATTACTGCACATATGAAATAGAAGCAAGCAAAAACAATTATCAGTTACTACAGTTGCTTATTCCATCATAATTTTTTAAAAATTTTGATAGGTCCTATAGAATCCCATCCTTCATGCTTTTGGTTTCTTGTACATTCATTCACACAAAAAATTGGCAAGATTCTATGTTATTTTCAAATAAAAGTTTGGATAAACCACCTATTCCCGGCTCCAACAAGCACTAATGCAATTTTTTGTTTGTAACTTCAGTCTAGGTGTGGGATAGTCACAATAAGTTAGTAGGTTTAATTCCTGAATGCTTTTGTAAAACACATTGATCCTATAGATCTACTCTCCTCAACAATGACCACTTTGTTTTAGGCCAAGAGGTCTTATTCCAGTTGGGATAAATACTGGATTCAATCCTCTATTAGATATTTATTTTATATATTATGATAACTCCCTAGAAATCCAAAAGGCTAAATATCTGTAATTTATGTTGTAGATAAGTATTTTGACAGGCTTGGCAGAGGAGTGCACACACTATTATCACTGATTGAAACTGGCAGCCAGGCTTCAAATCTCCAAGGAGCTTCAATGACATATAGAGGCAGGGGAAGCGGTGACCTTTAATTACATGAAGGCCACTTCTGTTTTGGGAACCGAACTGCAGGATGCCAGAAGCAGCTTATAATTCATGATTTAGGACTCTCAGTGGAGCAGTAAATTAGCAGTACAAAATTGTTATTGTTTGCTTTATAGAAGTCAAGAAGGATAACATCTCATCTCAGAATATTTTGTTGCTAGAACAACAGAAGTGACAAAACATCGTTTGTATTTTTTTTATTTGAAAAGCACACAAAGGTCTTCGCCCTTGTGTTAAAGTTTAAGTCTGTGCCTTAGCTTTATCATTCAGAGCACGTACAAAACTACTGAAGAATTTTCATTTTTAGCTTAGCTAGGTTCAAAGGTCATGTCTCAGCAGATACATTAACAATTAAATTGCTTACACAACTGTTGTTCTCAGCTTTATGTTCCACTCTCTCCTTTCATAAAACCAATTAGTCTTCTGATTTAAACATAATTTATGGCATGGATGTCAAATTGTTATCTGCTTAGCAGATAAGGAACATTATTTCTCATCCTCTCTTTTTTAAAAAAAAAGCCAGTTATTTTCTTCTTTGACTACTCTGCATGAAAAATGTGTATAAAAGACAAACAGCAGATGTGCGCCCACGCCACTAGAGAACATGTAGTGGCTAAAAACATTTCATCTGATCTTAAGAAGAAAACAATAACACAGAGGTCCCATTTGGGCTTCAAGCCCAAATCTTACCATGAAGGTTTCCACGCTTCCCTCACTGAAACTCTTTACAGATCCATTCCTACCTTCACTTTTCAGCACACAGATCTGCTTACTGCAAATGAACATTCACTGCAAGTTCTACACAATCAGGCAGTTTTGTGAAACTCGGTACACAGAGGTAAGTAAGTATTAACAGTGTGTTCTATTTGCACAGTGTCATGCAGGAAACTGATGAATGCAGAGTTTGGCAGCATAACTGGTAATTAAATGACTCCCTCCACACATAGAACTTAAATTAATGTCAAATCCTAATGAAACTAGAGTGTAGCCACTGACTCAATGAGACTGATACAATTATTGATGTAATGGGTCTATTTTTTTTCCCAATGGTCTACTCTAGTTGGGACCTGTAATTGGATTTAGCTCAGAATACCTGGAGGCACACAGATGATTTGAGACACCAGAAGTTGGTTGTGTGTCATGGCCCAGATAAAAACAGTCATTGAGGTAATTGTACCATATTAGTTATTAGTGCTAGCTACAGAATTTGGGGAGCTCCCAGACAAAATTGCCTGACACTGCTGAAAAAGGAAGAATGACTTCACTGGGCTCCTTTCTCTCTATCTGACTCCCTAGCCAGTCATTAGCACAGGCATGCCTGTTCCAAGCACATGCACATGGCCAATGCACAGAAAGAGAGATTCAGAAGTGCTTCTTTTTATTCATCTAATTATTAACTGTTCTCCTCCCCCCATCACTTCAACCACATTACTCAATCCTGGAGCTACCTGTAGGCAAGAGGCACAAAACAGAGATTGGCACCTTAAAAAGTGCAAGGAAACACAGGCAGAGATCTTGGCATGTGAGACCGCTCCCAGAACCATCCAAGGAAGGTGGCAAGCTTGCCCTGCTGAGCCTTTTTGTCTACAGCATTTAAAAAATGTAATTATTTCTTTGCTCAAGGCCATTGGGATAAATTACATATGACACAATCCATTTTATAATCATAATAACCCTATGAGGCAGTTCCACTGTAATACACTGCCTATCAATGAAATGAAATGTATACGAATCCGAATACCCCCATTGTATTCAAAAAAGGAGACAGGTCCCGGCGAATCCGAATACCCCCACCTCTAAGCATCATATATTGGGCTGTAGTACTACATGAAGATGGGGGAGAATGGATTACTAATACAGTGTTAATAATACAGTGCTGTTAATGTAACATCAGTATTGCAGATGTGGAGAAAAGGAATGCTACAAGCACACAGACCCTCTGCAAGCAAGCACACAGACGCTTTACTTTTAGGGCCCAATCCACTTTCAAGAGTCCAAGACTGTAACAATCATCTCTAAAGAGCAATAGTAAAACACAGTGTGCTTGATTCATTTCCAATTTGTTGTGAACTGATGAGTCATGGACTCCATTAAGCCTAAAGACACACTGTGGTGTTAAGTCAACCGAGTGCTATGCACTGAATAAGCAACAGATGCTTCCATTTGTTTCTGTGCAATGTGAAAAGAACAACACTTCCGTCCTCTAGCGTAGGCGATCTGCACCTGAATCCCTGTAAGTACTTGCTACTAACAGAGCCGTCTGCAGAGCTCATGGGCTAGGCAAGAAACGCTCTTCAGACACCCTGAAAGGTTGATTCAGAAGAAGAGGCAAGCTCTTAAATCTAAACCAGAGAAGACTTCTAAATTTAGCCATCCTTCAAGTTTCATCTTCACCCTCCCAGGATTAAAACAGAAAAATGGAGTCAGTCAGCGTCCTACTGCCAAAGACACATGGAAAAAAGTATCCCCTCCATGTTTTTTGCTATTATTCCTTAGCAGTCTTTTCCACAGCTGCAGGCTCTTTAAGTTTCGTTTTTAAAAACCAATGGACACCACAATGTTCTCACAGATTTCAATTATTGAGACTGATTCAGATCATAAGTAAACAGAGCAAAGCAAAAATCTGGTGTAAATCAAGCTATGTTGAGCTTATTCACTTCATGTTTAATGGAAACATAAAAGATTTTATAATGTAATTATTATCATAAAAGTTACTATAATGTTTTATATTAAATGTGCTACAG